GTAATACACTGTGCGTTACATTTTTGTTTTTTTGTAGTATTTTAAACTTGAACATTGCTAAAACATTTAATCAGAGTGTTATAAATCATTAGATTTATAAAGCATTCAGTTTTGAAAAGAGGTTTGTAAGCATATGAGTAAGTTCAGGAAGGGATTTTCTTTTTTTTTCCAACTGAGTTCCTCTGGAAAAAACTTGCATTGAAGGCAGTGCAGTGGTGTAAACCTATCTATTTGTTCTTTAGAAGAGTTGGTTATGGATACTTTTCCTGCCAGTCAAAAGTAGTTACATAAGAAGGACATATGGTTCTTGTCTCCAGGTGCTGAAGGCCCAGCCTCTGTACTGTTCTGAGGAAGGTATTTGGTTGTTTTTTTTGGCAAGGCTATGTTTTGTGTCAAGAAAATAAATCAATTTATTTCTCCCTGAGATAGAAAAAGGGGTAGGAAATGGAATTTATTTTCTGCTGTAAACTGTTATAAACCAGGTGCCCTTTTCCGTTGGGCTGCTCTCCGTTATTTACTGGAGGGCAAAGGTTGATAGCGCTGCTTTAATTTTTCTTGTCGCCCTGTTCCTTTTGACTGCCATACCTTCTATAGTGCTGCTTTGAAGTTGCTGCTCTTTTGACTGCCTTACTGCCGCTCTGGCATGCGGGAACGTCTCCTTGTGGAAACTTGGCCGGAGACAAAAGTGAAAGTAAGACCTTTAAAATGGCATAGGGAGAAGTAAAGGGAAAAAAGAGAAATATAAGTGAGAAATTTAGAGAAACCGTATTCTGCTTTATGCGTCATCCATCTCTGTTTGTGGAATTGATTGGGGGGAAAAAAACAAAACAATGCAACTTTGAAATAGTTTATCATTTGTCAGGAGAACAAGTGCTATTTCATAGGTAGATAGGAGTAGTATTGCACAGAAGCAGCCTGCCGGCCATGCCTCGGCCTGATCTTCGCTTGTTTTACACTGGGTAATAGCAGCATCAGGGAATGAGAGGAAGTAAAAATGAAGGATATTTGGTCTTGAGTTTTTGATGTAGGAGAAGGATTAGCAAAGATGATATCTTGTTTATATATGTTATATTTAATCTCTTGCTGCTGGTTTTAATGTTTCTTATTAAATTATTCATATGGTGAGTTGTTATGGAGTTCTCTAATCCTGAAGTGCTATTTTACAGGAGTGTTTTTTAGACAAGCTATTTCTGAAAAATTCTCTTGTTTTTTGCTGCAAGTTTTTTGTTGTTATAAGGCAGCAAGTTTAAATTATGAATAAAACAGTTCATGCTGAAATGTTTAATAATTTGTGGTTTAAAGCCCTTACCATTGCCAGGATTTTCATGTATATGGCACAAATATTACTACTGTCATATCACAAACGTTTTATAAAGCCTGCTCTTCCTTTTATTTGGCACACATTCGATAGAAACTGCCATGTACTTTATCTCGGTACAGAATGAATAGCTATTTGAGAGTCAATTTAATGTTCAGGAAAGACAGCAGACTGACAGCACTGGAGAATGAAGCTTGCTTTTGTTCATTGAGTGTGGACATATACTGTCCGTATGGATTTCTGGGTGCTGTTGTGACAGTGTATCCTAAGGTTGATTTGGAGGACTGCCAAATTGGGAGGAGCATTCCTAAATAGTAGTTTGTCTTTCTACTTGTTCTTAAAAAATAATTTAAACACATGTTAATGTGAAACTGGACTAAAGTTGCTACTTCCTTTTTATAATGCTTATTGCCCTCTCAAATTACAAATTGTTGGGTAAAAGGTAAATTACTCTTACTCCCAGTATTGCATCACTTGGGTGATCACCTTTTCTGCTTGTGAAGATTTAGCTTTCAGATGAACTGTTCAGATAATTAAAATAATTCACACGGAGTAATTGATGTGTGTTCGGAAACTTGCTAGCTCTTTCCACTCTTGTTTAAATACACCGTTTTCCTATTAATGTAAAATCATTCTATAGTATTTCTTTGTTGTTACAGTTTTTGTTCTTGCGACAGTTGGGTTGGCACCCGGAAGTATAATGATGACCTGTTAATACGTCCATTGTGCTTAGTGTCCGTGAATCTCCCATCTGATGGTTCCAGAGTGAAGACAAGTTAGGAAAGTTAAGATACCAGCATTGAAATCTAGGTTTGCATTTGTGCTAAAGCCTGGCTCAACTGGTCTAGCAACAAAGAGCCTTGCTGCAAAGGTATTCCTGCCTACTCAGAGACATCTTCTCACTGATAGCACACTGTAGTTAAGAATTGGATCCTTGCCTGTAGATGGAAGCATTTTTTAGCATCTCATCATGCTTTGAGCTTCTTCCCCAATATTTTTTACACAGTATCAAAATTGCTTCTTTTTCAGTCTCTTTCCATTCATTGTAAGCTATTCTAATTCATTTTGGTTCAGATTACTTCCATTTAATGTGGTAAACATTTTTTACATTCTTTTTTTGTGGAAGATATTTCTAATCAGATATTTTTAGAACTTTTTTTCTTCTACTTTTCATCCTCTCTCTATTCCAGGCACGTCTCTGCTTGTCAAATTTCTCTTCAATTTCTGTTTTGCTTTTGCAGTAATTGGCAGTCACCCTCTTAGAGTTCCTGAGGGAAATCATACGTGTAGGGTATAACCAAAGCAGCACCTGAGTGATATCACTGTAGGACAGGAGACAGAAAGTTCACCCATCAGCAGAAGAGAGAAAAAAATGGGAAATGCTTAAAGTAAGCAACCTGGAACAGAAGAGACACTGGGCCGCCTTCAGTTATAATGATCTTAGGTTTCCATAGGCACACTATATATATATATATATATTTTTTTTTTCCATAGGCACACTATATATATATATATATATATATATTCGAATGTGATGGTACCATTTCTTAGCAGAGAGTATTATTTGTGAAAATTTTAATATTCATTAGGTTATGCATGGCTATGAATATTCTTGACGATCTTTTTTAGTTATTCTTATCCTTGATTTTATTTCAATATGTTTCCCTTACATTAACTTTTTATCATAAAAAGAAATTAATTCTATTGTCAACCTACAGTTCCTTTTTTCAAGAAATAAAAACCCTACATTTAGTTTTTTAAGTGCTTTGTGTATATATATAACCTTCATATTTGTTAATGTGCTTTGATTTTTTGGATTGATCTCCGGAAGGAGAAATGGCTGCTGAGAGTAAACATGGAATTGTGCACAAAAAGCTCTAGGACCTCAAGGTAGTCTCTCTTCAGCGCTTTCTTTGGCGATTGGTCGCACTTCTTTGCATGCATGTTCTTCTGTATGGAGTGATTACAGACAAAAAAGTTATGTGGGAAGGATGGAGCAAGGAAGGTAGATCAGAATACAAACAGAGAATAATAAAGCTATACCGTTGTCCTGAATATTCCTTGCCTCGTAGGTTTATTGGCTTAAAGCATTAGTAACAGCACATCACATTTCAGCTGTAGGTTGCTACCATTTCCGATTGGTAAAGATTGAAGTTTGTGGTTGATGTCTTGTTAATGTGAAAGGCGTTTGATCATGACTCAATTGACAGGCCTTGTCATAAATCACTACCAGGATTGTCAGTAATTGATCCATCTTTTCAAAGGTGTCGTGAAAGCTGAACCATTGTCCTCCATCTGCAGGCCAGGGAGGGGACGTGTTGTTGATAGAAGTAACCTTGCCCTCCTGCCATATGTACTTCATATCCCTTTAATAATTAAAAAAAAAACAACCCACCTTTCAATGGAATTAAATTTTCCCACAGCTTCATTTTTGCATGCCTAGGAAGCCTATCTGAAGAACCTTATAACACAATAAAGTCTATTATTTCCAAAATATCTAAATGTCCTCTTATCTTATAGAGGTAGAAATATGCATGGCATCTAAAACTTTAATTAGCATACAGGAATGGTTCTGTTGGCGTACAAAGCTGTGTGATTTTATTCTGAGTTTGGAAACAGTACTACTAGGAGTGCTAGTGTTCAGTTCATTAGTTTCCTGGAATTATTACTGTAGCTTATTTCTGAAAAGAATAATAAACAACCCTGGGAAAATTGTAGTATAACATTGAATATTGTTTTCATGCACAGAGAATTATTTTTTTTTTCAGCTCTGTTCATTCCAACAGAGTTTAGAGATTATTTTCTAAGATATGCTGCTGCTTCATCAAAGCACTAATAAATGTTTCAACTGTCTAAGAGGTAAAATATCAGCACGAGCAAACCTTGAAGTATGGATTTAATTTAACTCAGTCCTCACTCTTGTTTGGTTGTTTGTCATAAACTAGTCCTTTCTGCTCATGGCTGTGTTGGATTCTTGAGCTATATTGACTGTTAGGATGCAGCCTGTGCAAATGAGCACCTGATCCTATAAAAACGCTGTAGTTAGGAGAACAAGATATGTTTTCTGAAGAGCCTTTTTTTCTTTGGATTCTCCCTGCTATTGAAGTTTGATGCCATGTTGTCCTTTCAAGAGAAGAAGCCTTAAGGAAGCGAGGGGAGACTAGGACTGTAGGAGGAATGATTTGAAGACAAAAACAGTTGTTTAGCTATAAAGAAATCGGTGGGAAGCTGATGAATGGAGTTTACAGAATCCTGAGGGCCATGAATTTTTGTTAAGTATCAAAGCTACTAGCTCTTTATTTTTGGAAGGCCTATTGTAGTGTAATATAATTAACTTCAGAAGCTAGCTCTATAAATTAAGCATTACAGTCAAGGTCATCAGGGATACAAGGACTGTTGGAGTTGCTGCCTCATTCTATGGGTTTACAATTAAATGAAGAATAATTGTAGGTAGGTAGCAATGTATTTTTTTATTATCAGCCTTTTTAATCAGAATACTGGAGCGCAATAGCAGCATCGTGCATAGATCCCTGAATTAAAACCTGCAAATGTAGTCTAAATCATTTGGAGGCTTGCAGCATTTGCCAAATGTGCCTGTGCTAGCTGCAATCATGCGTTAAAAAAACATGGTTTGTGGCAGAATTACCAATTATAAAATACATGTTTATATTTTATTTTTTAGGATCAAATAGAACCCACTGATTCAGCAGAACTGGCTGGTTATGCTGCAGTCATCATGAGTAGGCACAGGGTCATTCGTTTCTTAACACATGTATAAGAGAAAAAGGTAAGAGATAAGTTCCGTTTTAGATTATGATTCGGGGTAGGTACTTGAAATGCATATGTCTTTATGGATGTATATGTATATATATTTATATGCACACACCCCTCTACGTGTATGTACATCTTGCACACAAGACGATGGAGTATTTTTAGCATTTTGTGTGTTCATTTTTGTTATTGAGAGTAATTGCTTTGTTTTAGAGCAAGGATGTGTCTTATTTTGTGAGGGGAAGCGGACAAAATCTTCCTTCCTCAGTCTGTGCTGTTGAATCTTATCAGTTAAAGATACGGCTGTTGCTGAGCTCTCTGAACAAGCTGTTTATTACAGTAGAAATGCTTGACTTCTCCTTCTTCCCAGGAACGTATAATATAAAGGTAGCTGAAGGGAGCTGCAACCAAGTGCAGAGTTGACCATTGTTTCTTGGAGTTGAAGCAAGCCATCAGGAGCGTTAGATCTCACAGCTTTGTAAAGCTGATCTTCAATTGCATGTAATCATGCTATGAGAAAATTGTATTTTTTTGGGCTATGAAGCTCAGGATGAAAGAGCAGTGTTTGTTTTCAGTCTGATTATGCCCCTTGTGATTTTCATTCTATAAGTCTTTCATATATATTTTTGATGAGGACTGTAATAATAAACTACTTGAGTATTTGCTTAGTAAAAGTTTGCTGAAATGTGTATGTTCACAATTTCACACTGAAACATAGTGATCTGCACACAGGCCAAGGTCATAAAAAGTCCTAGGATCTTATTCTGGTCCCTGACATGCTCCCTCATTTTTAGACCTTTGCCAACTATGGCGCTAACAGTTATATATTGATATTATTTCCTCTTTGTGCATTTTTCTTTATTACAATGTGGTAATGTGATCGCATGCTGGTAGTCCACTGTTAGAGTCAAGAGGGTTTGGAAACGTTAAGGCTGTCAGTTCCAGTGGTGAAAAATTCTTGAGGGTAGAGTAGAATATGCTGTACGGAGGATCGTGGTTTATATAATTCCTCATCACAGAGACCAAAGCAAATACAAGTCTTGCCACTTTATAGGTGTGACACAAGGCCTATTTCTTTGTACTGATTGTTTCCCAAGAAGAAGCTGGCATGTGGGGCATCTGAGCTGTCTTCAGAGGCAGTCTCCAAGGTTAAGACTGTTCACAGTACCAACTAATTTTAAGGAAGCCTTTTTCTGTCCTTTCTCTCTCCATCTCTCTCCCCCCAATAATCAATTAAAGTTTATCTTATGTTAAAAGCTATAATGACTGGGATAGTAATCCTAGACATATATCAGGTATAAAGATTTGTAGATATCTCGTATGTGCTCCTTTTATATTTAGGTATTTGGGGAGAGTAGAGCATTTATGAAGACTGATTGATAAAACAGAAGTTCTTAAGCTTTGTAGATGAAGATGGTAAGCCTCTGCCATTGTATGAAATTGATAAGTGAAACACAGTCTTTTTGAATTATGCATAATTTGTGATCCAACAGGAGCTTGAAAATAATCTGATTGACAGACTGCATGATTTCATTAGCTTTTTTCTGTGAGAGACTGGAGATGACTCTACAATGGGTAAGAAGTGATCTTGGGTTCAGGACTTACTGTGCCAGTGGGTGGTGACCATTGTATTCACTTTTTAGATACAAAATAAAAAACATGTATTTTATTATTTAATATGTTTTGCTTACAGTTAGTCTTTTCTGCCTAATCGTGATGCAGGGGACTTTGAACTGTATTTTTTAAATATCAACTCATGCTTTTTACTGACTTGGTGATTTATGCCTCCTTTTCCTTGCACTGGCACAATACTGCCTTCTTCAGATTGTTCATCTGAATATATACCAATTTATAAAGTGTCCCTTTTTTGGCAGCAGACATCTAAAACAGCCACTGAAATTTCTTCACAATTTCATTATGTTTTGACCCTCATTTTTCCAAAGCTTGAGTTGTGTATTTGCTCATCTGCTTCTCTCCATGCCATGGCATGGAATAGTTGAGAATACTAAAGAGTTTCACAACTATGAACGATCATTTAAAAATGATCATTTCAACTTTTGTGTTAGGAGGAAATTCGGGACTAGTGTAATTCCAAAGAATTTGTGAATAGAGTAATTCTGTTCCATAACTGTTACAGTGATAGCTGTGAGTTATAATCAAAGTTGCCAAAGACCCGTAAAGACTAAATGTGTTTTTATTTATGTTAGATATTTAATAAAAATATTTAAAGTAAGATAGAATTCTAGACCACAGGAACAACCGCTGCCAGGTTATTGTAGTGTGCTGTGTTACAGCATTTTGTGCTTTCTTTTCCATTTTGAGTTCCTGGCTGTGCAGAAGTGAAATATTAGTTCTTAAGCTGGTTAAAATGCATTTGAGCAGCTGACAGTGTACTGGGCAAGAAACATTGCTGCTCTCTGTTATAAACATAAGCACTTATGTTGGGGAGAGGGCAGTAATGAATTTTGTGGATTTTTCTCTGTGCTTTTTGTTGAACACGGACTTCAGGAAAAGTATGTGGGGTTTCTTTATTTGTATCTTTGGTTTTGTGTATGATAATCATTTTTGGTGTTAGACCTGGGGATTTGCAGCTGACCCTTTCTTGCCATTGTTGCATGGGCAACAAGATCTCATTTTGAGTGGCTGTCAGCTCAATGATTATGAGTTCAAAATAAAAGATTTCTCTATATATCCTAGTACATCAGCAAATGAAATAACACTAATGATGTAGGAGGTTTTCTCTTCTAATGCTGTTTATTTTGTGCATTTTAGTTTGGACTATAAGTAACCATCAGTCTCAATTTTGACCAGTTGCATTCTTGTGTGCCAGTGTTTGAGCTTCAGAATTCTTAAGATTCCAGAAATTTGTTTATACAAAGGTCTCTTTACTTAAAGTTTTTTTTTTTTTTTTCTGAAGTAAACTATGGGAGGCAAGTTTCTATCACACTGGATGAAATTTAAACTCACAATTTCACATTTAATTGTTAGATAATACAGATTTTAATAAAATAATCATTTCACAGGGTTACTGTGTAGTATTAACCACATTGGGATTGTAAGGGAGCAGACACAAAGTTCCACGTCTTCTCTGTGTGCCCTTGCTGTTGGTAAACAGGTAGTTTCATAAGTCTGAATGTTTACATTTTTTAATGTTATAAAACAGTGCATAATGTAAAATGTAAAAGCTAAAACTCTATTGTTTGCAAAAGAGACAAAAGTCAATGACAATGGTAGTATTTATTGTCAACTTCTAACATTACTTTAGTTAGATGTAGTCTTGTTCTTGATTTATATGACAATGATAAACAAGCTAATATAGGACTAAACATAGGAATTGTTATGGGTAAACGTGGCTTAGATTCTACTTCTACCAATATGCATACGTTTGAAGCAGTTCTAAAGTAATTTTTTCAGGCTTTTAGTGGGGTTCCCAACTTGTATGAATGGTCAGATGTGAATTGCTTTTAAACTTGTGAAAGCTACGTGGAATCAAAATGCAGAGGTCCGAAGAGATATTTTAAAAGTCTATTTTCGGGAAGCGTATAATCAGCATAGCTTTCCTTCCCCATCAACTTGCTTGTCAGTAATCATTATCTTCTCTAACGTAAACAAAACGGAAAAAATCAATGCCTGTAGCCTATTTCTTGGGGCCACCCATACTGCAGAGCTTGTGTTTATGTCCTAGAGAATGCCTTGACTGGATGCCCTTTTTCAATATTAGAATGCCTGAAAATCTGTGTAGTGTTTTCAGCAGCATCGCAGTTTGACACTACTAACGCAAAACTTTGCCGATGCTTTTCAGTCTAACAATACCTACACTGAAAAATTCTGTTTGCATCAAGGACCTTAGTAGGACTTTTCCTAGGAGTCATTATTCTCATTTTCATAAAGTGTTAGCTTGGACTGTTACCGTATTATAATGTAAATTAAATATAGGACAAGTTAATGTGAAATTAGATGGCATTTTGCTTAAAACAGTCTTGCTGTAGCGAGCTAATTTTGGTTAGTCATGTTTAGAATTTTTTTTCCAAGCAAAATATTAATTGGGACAGAGTCTAATGAGCTTCTCAATATTAGATACTTAGAGCTGGTAAAGATGCTTCCCATCACAGTATTGAAATGAGGAGGAGGAAAAGGTGCAAGAGAACCTCCAAACTCTTGCAAGCTGGATGTAGTCTGAATGATTTAGTGCGTGTAGGTACGAGGAGAAGCATCTCCTTTTTAAAATGAATTTGGTTTAATTGGGATGTATGTAGTAAATGTAATTGCTTGTTTCAGTTAAAATGCTATGGAAGACTTTTAATACAATTACTTGGTGGGCAGATTGGGTAGCTCGGACAGGATATACAGTAGGGGTCTAGGGGATCTAAGAATACAGTCTATGAGTTAGAGGTCAGATCCTGACCCTACCTTCTTCAGAAAGGCAAATATAGTAGAGAATGAAAAATGTTGAGTGTTGGTGGGGTTTTTTGTTTTTTGTTTTTAGATTTTTGAAATGCAGCCTTTGATCAAGATAGCTATCCTTATAATCTGGGCATCGGTGTACAGTAAGGGATGTGGCTGATCATCTAGCTATTTTCCTTGCAGAAGGAGTAATCTTGCATCCTGTAACGGAGGGTGAATTACAGTTGGACAAATCTGGGAGGTTGTAAGGTCACTACTCTAGTTTATCTTTGAATTTCTTTTTAAAATGGCCTTTTTGGTGCTTATTGCAATTAATAACTTACCGTTATTACACTCATTTTCTTTAAAGTTGACTTTCTACATATATCTTCAAAACATAAAATAAATCTGATTACATCAAGTAGTGATATATTCACGTTGTAACGTGACTTCCTTTTAAAAATGCCATATGACAAATTTGAGGTCAACCCTAAAAGCCTGAACTCTGCGTTTCATGACATTTTAATGCTTTTTTGTTTCTTTTTTTTGTTTGTTTGCTTTGTTTTGTCCTGATAAGCTGGTCTTGGACAGCTGTTGCCCACAATGAACACAAAGCAGTATTTAACATTGTAGTAGTTGAGATAATGCTGGTCAGCGTTTTCCTCAAGTCTGACTATTTTAAGAATAATGTTAAAGTAAAATACAGCTTTAAATTGGAAACTTCCTCCGACTTGTTTCTCATATCTGTTGTTTCTGTAGTATAAAAGACTAGGTTTTCAGTTGAGCTGGAGTCTAACTGTCAGGTCTAACACTGTTTCTTACTGCAAAACGAGGTTCTCACCCTCTCCTCCTCCTTTCCCTTATTTCACAACATTGAAAGCCAACTCTGAAGAGAATGAGGCTGTTTTGGATGATGTTCAGAGAACAGATCAAATCAAGGTCTCTCTTTATGGTATCTAGGTTATGGCACACATTTCCCAGTGAAAATATCTTCATTGGCAGTGAGTGTTTTTAGAAAAGAGATCAGAGCATCTTGTTGCTGGAAGCCGTTGGTAGCAAAAAGGTTGTGTTCTTACAATTAGTTAGGGCTTAAATGTTATTTATTATGCGAAGTCGTAGAAGGCTATTTAAGGACTTAGATTTTTCATTTCTCCCTGTGGTCTTCCTTTCTAGCCCGAGAATATTTTCCTTTGATGAGACTGTTTATCTCTGGGCCTTTTGGTAGATTTCCCGTGCCTGCCTTTCAGGAAGACAGGGATTATTAAGGCAGGCACTTTAAGAGCTAGCAGAATTCAAGTAATACCCAGTACCTCTTTTAACAACTTTACAAGTATAAACCCTTGAAGCATCTCTCGGAAATGAGGAGTGACGCAGAATACCACTAGCCTAGTATATGTTTCAGAAAACAGAAGCACAGGGAGTTAAACCTTCTTCAAAGCCACATGAGCTAATCAGTGGTAGAATGAAACTGATAGCTGGATCTTCAGATTGTTGGGTAGTTAACTTTCTAGTGCTCTGGACAATGACGTTTTTGACTGATATTGGAGCAATTTTGCTCTCACCATTATGGTGATTCTTGTGGTTAGATGCATTAATGTGGCAATACAAGGAAGGTTGCACTGCCATCATCGTCATTTGGTACCTGAAACATCTTAAAGGCTATTGCTGGCTTTGATTACAGTTCTGTTTAAATGCGTAGATGAAGGTCAGTGTTTTTCTTGAATGTAAGAAGTTGAGACAAGGCCTTGAAATGCTTAAAGTAGCATTGATAATGAGCAATGAGGGCAAAGGCATGTGATTGAGTTTGACGTTTTCAGTGCAATATATTTAAATATATCCTTGCTCATCACTTACAGTGACAGTGCTTTAGTAACTACTGATGAAAATTCTTCCTCTCCCCTCCCTCCCTATCTATTGTGGTGGAAAAAAACGCAGCAGTCTATATAAAAGGAAAAAGTGCATTGATATGTAATGAAAATAAAAGCTTAAGATAAAGAGAATAGTGGAATGTTTCCTATGTAGGTTGCAATTTTGCAGGTCCTAAGCCAACATTGCATAAGAAAGGACTATATGACTTTCATTTTTGTTATGTTGCCCTAAATAGAAGTTTCTAAACAGTCAGGAAGTTTCTAAATTGCAGAAATCAATTTGAAGTACTCTCTGTACATATCTTTCTCCTAAATTCTGAAGACAAATCTCACTTTACTTGTATTTTGGCCTCTCAGAAAGACCTGTCACATTAAATGGAAAATGCACTGAATTAAGCATAAGGAAAGATGTGCATATATTGTTTTGAAAGTTCTGTGGTGTGGAATACGTTGTGCTTGGAAGTGACACAGGTTAGTATTGGTATTCTTTTCATTCATCTGATTTGGGCATTTTCTGTTGCTCTGACAGCCAGCGTGTAAAAATGAACCTGTGTCCTCCAAATGTTAACAATGTTGTTGCTTCAGATCCTAGTTCACATCAACACATTTAAGTTTTAATTTGTATATATGGCAGAATTTTAAAAAAGAGGTTCTATTGCAAGTGTTTGCAAATATCTTGATCTTAAAAAAAATTTTTTACTTAAATTTTAACTTTTTTTTGGACGTAAATATCAACTTTGCAGACTGTAAACAGTAAAATCCAAAGTGAGTTTGGGGAAGTTGTTAATCTGAATTTAGCAAGTTTAAGCATACAAATGATGTTTATTCCTGGGAAATGCTTTTGATTTATGCATGCAATATATTTACATTTTGGCTTACAAAGGAATCTCCCCCCCCCACCCCCTTTAAATCAGGGTATTATGTAGTGGAACCCTTCTAAATGAAGTTTAGCTGAAGTTTAGCTGTCTGATTGTAATTTGATCTCTCTTTGGCAGGTTCAGACAAGAATCTGATGGTCTTTCCCTGACAAATGGAGAACTATTTCCAAGCAGAGGCATATAACCTCGATAAGGTTTTAGATGAATTTGAGCAAAACGAAGGTGAGTCATTTTGAACAAAATTGTAGGTGCACATTAGATGTACTCTACGGAGAACACCATTGCTAAGGGAGAGAGATCTGTAACACCCTTTTTGGTTTTGAGTTGCAAATTGATCTCAGAACTTGCAAAAACCATCTGGTGACTTTGTATGATGCATCTTCTGTGTTTGTTAGTAGTGCTCTTCTCATTCTGTTTCTGTTTATCTTGTTTACTTTTTTAATTTGTTTCTCACTCTTTTCGCAGAAGATCTTCCGTAGACTTTGTAAAGAGGGGTTTTATGGAGCTTAATCTCAGTGGCAATATTTTTATGACTTATTTTTAACAATTCAGGCAAAATAGATTTATTTTAAGCTTCTTTTGCAGTTTGGGGAGACTTTAGCGTAGAAATGTTTTATTAGGTCACATAAATCATAAAATGAAAGTTACCATATTCAAAGTATAAATGCTTAGTCTGATTGCAGCTTCAGTGCTGTCAAGGAGGTTCAAAATTGTGTGGGAATCGCAGGGTTTTTAAGCCTTTTTAGCTGTCTAAAGTATATTAATTGATACTTTAAAATTAACTGTGCAAATTGAACTTGTTATACTAATTGGTGTAACTCTAAAGTTCTTGAGTTCCAGATACCTCATACAATAATGGTTCATCAAGGATGGGTTAGTTTTGTAAGATGTGTTTTACTGTTGTACCTGTATTTGAACATCTATACATCTGTATTTGGGTCATTTTAATGTAACAGAGTTAATAGAATCTATAGACTTAACAGGACAGTAAGCTCTCTGAAAATAGAGGAATCGCATCAGTTTGACATAACGTGTTCGTTACTGGCTTAATTTTTCAGATGCCGCTGTTTCACCTACACTGTTGGGTGCAAAGTGGAATCAGATTCTAGATCCCCCTTCTCGTCGTCTGTCGTTTAACCCGACCGTGGCCAATGTGAATGAAGCTACCGCTCCTGATGAATGTCAACAGAGATTAAAGTCTTTCTCCCTGTCTCATTCAGTGGCCACACCAACAGGAGGAGGGGTTCCCTGTGCTAATGGAAAAGATTTTAATATAAGCTCAGAAACCCCAGCCATGTGGATTGATGATCAGGCAGCAGCAGATGATCAGTTAATTAAGAGGAATAACAATCAGGATGATCAGTGTAACGCTGCGGAAACAAGAGAAAAGAAATGTGGAAATATAGCTTGCTTGCCAGAAGAAAAAAATGTACTAGTGGTGGCAGTCATGCATAACTGTGACAGAAGAACACTACAACGTGGTGATTTGCTGGATTGTAAAAATTACAACAGTCAGTCCCTAATGGACACTATTAGCTTTACACTGGATAATGAAAACCGACAGAGTGATCAGTTTTGTGTTACTGTAAATGGATCAACTGAAAAAGATACAGATACAGAAAAGCAAGTAAATCGGCTCTGTGCTGAAGGTGACTCTATTAGTCGTTTGATTAATGCTTCATCTGAAAGCCAGTCCATTGCATGCCCCTCCTCTCGATTAAAGGATGATTTTAATATGAGTAGAGATTCACTGTTTTCAGAAGCTACAACTGCAGGGATTAATGCAGTGACTCTATTGCAGAGACCAGCTGATGGTGCCATTAAAACGCAAGAAAATTGTGTATCAGTTGAAAATGTTACTAGTAAAGCCATTACTCAGCGAGTCGATCTAGAAGCTAAAAACTCTTCTTGTTCACGTAATGAAAGCTTAATTGTAGAAGCAGTAGAAGAGCAAACATCCCAACAACTTCCATCCAGGCTACCTGGGCTCACCGAATCTTGTCAACCTAATGTGGCTGGAAGTGGCAATTACAAGGAACATGTTGCAGAACATTCTGCCTCTGAGGATGTTAGTGGCATTGAAAGTGAAGTCAGGGAACGTGATAAAAATCTTGGCACAACTGAATTGCTCAGCATAGCCGAGTGTTACCCTGAATCTCAGGAGATGACTAATTGGGAACTGACTAAATTGAATGAGGTGAATAATAAGCAAACTCTAGGAGAGAATGAAAGACTTCTGCAGACAAAACAGCCTGATGAGGCGTGTAGTAATAGTAGAGAAGGTGGAGGTGGGATGATGGAGGCAGGCATGGACTTAAAAGGAACTGGTATAGATGAGCTTGAAGGGCCCAGTCTCTCTGATGTTATGGGTACATCAGCAGCAAGCTCTTTGTCTAATGGTTGTGATTCCTATGGAATGCAGAACCAAGTTGTTGCTCATATTCCAAAGACTTTACCCTCCAAGGAAGACTCGGTAACAGAGGAGAAGGAGATAGAGGAGAGCAAGTCAGAATGTTACGCTAACGTTTATGAACAGAGAGGAAATGAGACCACAGAGGGGAGTGGTCTTGTTTTAAGCAGTACTGGTGACCAAATGAAAAAAAATTATTTACATAACCTCTGTAGTCAGGTCTCATCCATGCAAGGGCAAACATCACCAAAACCAGTGACTAATCTGCAATGTATTAGCGTTCCTTTTGGTGGGGCAAGACCTAAACAGCCTACAAATCTTAAACTGCAGATTCCGAAGCCATTATCGGACCACTTACAAAATGATCTCGTTCCCCCAAACTGTGGAGGTAATAGTAAAAACAAAAATGTCTTTGGTAAGGCTCAATTAGGGGATACCTTGACAGCAGACGTGTTTCCTAGTGAGACATCTTTAAATGCCTCTATTACTGATACTAACGGGGAACATTTGGAAGAGTATGAATCTGGAGTCTCTAGTAGTCCGTGCCTTGCAGTAGCCCCAGATAGTCCAGATAACGATCTCAGAGCTGGTCAGTTTGGAGCTGCATCCAGAAAGCCTTTTACAACTTTGGGTGAGGTGGCTCCAATTTGGGTTCCGGACTCTCAAGCACCAAACTGCATGAAATGCGAGGCCAGATTTACATTCACCAAAAGAAGGCATCATTGCAGAGCTTGTGGGAAGGTAAGTGCATGCTCTGTGATAAAGCCTGAGGCGTGCTTTCATTTCTGATACTGAAAAAAAATCAAATCAGAGAACTTGCTAAGCCGCTGGCTGCAGCTACCTGTGACATCTCTTCCTAAAATGCTGGATTTGATTAGTTAAGGAAAAAAAAAAGTTTCTAAGCTCTAATCCATTTGGGGTTCTAGTAGAAAGCAACTTTTGGTTATTCATCACTGTAAGAATGATTATCCTGTAAGGTCAGGGAATTAGCTGATTGCAACCTTTAACATGCATTGGATTCATGTAGAACTGCTATCAAACAGCTAAGTGCAGGAAACTAGTTTGCAGAAATTACTGCATCAGTAATCCCATTAAAGATACTGGAACGAATTGATGGGAATTGGAAGTGAGCTACTGAATTGCTGGCGTTCCTGCTGGTTTACGTGGCTGACCAAGTTTGTTCTTTTAAGTCTTCTTTTCTAGTTTTTCTCATATTGCTTACACTGCTTTAATGAATATATCTTTGCTTCTGAGGAAAAAAAAATGTAGTAAATCCTCTGTAATCTGACAAACACACGATAAGAAATTTTGTAAGAAAGACAACGAAAGCATAATTTCTTTATCGTTTTATGTTGTGTAAGAAATGTTGTTGACAATTTTTTTTTGTTGGTTTTGAAAAATTTCCATACGTGCCCTCTAGGTCAACACTAATTCATATGTGGCAAGTTTATGGTAAACAGTTAGATTATAACGTATTTGTAAATATCTTGTTATTGAAATACAGGTCAGTGGTACATGGGAAATAGAAACTTAAGGAAAAAATATGATTAGTCAAACGAGAAAAATTAAAACTCTTGTCAAGTAGATATTCATGAATAATTTTAAGATAAAAAGAAATATTAAAACCCACTAAAAATTAGAGTAAAAGTAACTTTGGTTCGTTTAGGCCCTATCCAAAGGTTTCTGAAGTTGATTGAAAGACCTCCTGGCTCCTATGGGCAAGATCTTTAGCTACCAGAAGAGTGCAGGGAAGCAGGACGACTTGAACAAAGGACCTAAAAGAAGCAATGTGTCTGGAAAGCTCACACTCTTATGCCACCTGTTTCTGGAAGGAGCCTAGCAGAAAACATTGGCTTGCTCCTCTGTAATGGACTACGTATGTCTGCCATTTGCCCTTTAGTAACCAAAATGCATAGCACTCAATCTCTTCACTGCATCGCCAGTTAAGTAGATTTTATTCAAATTTGATTTTGAGACGTTCTGAAAAAATCTTTCCCAGAATATTGACTGGTAAATACATGTTCGTTAAGCACTGGTTAAGGAGTTCCAGTTGCTTGCTTCTGCCCATCCTGTTGCAGGTTGCAGTGGAAGGTATGATGTGGAACTAGTAACCGCAGGAGATCACTATGTATCGCAAGAAGTTATATGCCTACCTTTTCTGCGTGTTTCAGTTAATATCAAAGGGCTCGATCCTGTTCTCATTGCAGTTGAGGAGAATCTAAGGCATTTCAGTTAAAGGAATTATGTCCATCATTGGTATTTTATTTTAGCTTCAACCTGTTAAATTATACTGTCAGTTGTTTAGGTCATGCTTTTGATTTGTATGAGCTTAACGAATACGACTACGAACTCCATTTACAGTTATATTTTCTGTTCATTTCTGTGCTTTAAATAAGTCCATTGCTTGTATTTAATTGTTCCCCTGCCATGACTGAAGCCCTGAATTGCAAAAATAAGCAGGAAAGAGAAAGAACTGTAGAGCAGAATGGACATGAACAGTTACAGCAAGGCCAAGAAATGCAGTTTGTTTGTTTTAATTATTGAAAACAAGCCTTGAAAAGAGTAAGACTGTTTCTCTGCAGCATTCTTTCGGATAATGTGTAGGGATTGGATAAAATAAAAGCTGCTTCTGCTCTGGAGACAAATAAATGCTTCTCAGATGTGAAAAATACCCATATTAGTATTTAATATTCTCAGAATTTTCTTAGAATAATCCTCGGAAGGTCTTGTTGCTGGAAGCTTTTGTTAGCGACTGTTGTCAGGACTAAACTTGCACATGTGCAGTCAAAAGATGCTGCAGAGAATTCTGCGATAATTCTTTTTTATGCCTTTTTATGCTTTTTTCTCGTTTAAAAAAAAAAAAGGCACTCATTAATAAACACTAAGAATCAGTGCAAGTCAAATAATACTCAGCACTTACTGCAAAGTGCTTTACAACATTTAATTCCTGAACGTTTCTGGGAGGAAGGAAACCAAGGGCTTTGACAGGCAAGCTCTCATGAATTTAGCTGTAGTGGTTTAAGATATAACTATTCTCTATTGCCTGCTCTTGCTCTCTGGTTACGATAACCATCCCCAAGCAAGTCGGCCTGACCGTGTGCCTGCGACGTAGGTAATTACTGACTCACAGTGACACTTCCACTGTTTCTATCAAACGTGTGAACCTCTGGTAAAGGACTGTCTTCAGTGCTTGCAGTTTACTTATTTGCAGGTGAATGGCAGAAATCATGGGAGTAAAGATTTTTCAACACAATCTTTAGCACAGCAGTTTCTTTTTAAGTGTTATTAGCATCATGATAAAACCTTGTAGTAGGGGTGAATATCTCTGTTTCATTTGGGAATGAAAACTGCATTTAAAAATAGTTGAGTGGCACCTGGGAAGTCTGTCTCTGTTTTTAATTTCAGGATAGTAATTGCAAAATTAATGGAAGATATGAACCTCAGGGGAATGGTAGAAATTAACACGTTTACAATGAAATTTGGTTTAAAATTAAGAACCTGAAGAATATCTATGAACATATTCATACATTTTACTATATGTATATGTTTCCCATTGTCAGATGAAACAGCCACACTTGACAGGAAAACCAGAAAATTTGTATGTCATCTTTTTACTGCCAGCCCAAACTCTACTTTTGTCACTCAACTGTAAGAAAAAACCCCCGATGCCCTAACAGCTAATCGTTTAACAGCCCCCAGTCAAGCCAAAAACCTTAGTACCATGAGAACTTGCTGTGGCATTTTTTCTATAAGCAGGAGGTACTGAGATAAATGACTTGGTGACTGCTAAGAGCAAGGAGTGAATTGTCCGTTGTGCTGGATTATGTGCTTCCTCTGCGTTCTTCAGGGGAGGTATAGATGTTCTGTCCGTGTGTTCATTTTCTCTTTTAATGTGTAGATCATTGTACTCTGGAGCCTTGCTGAACGCACAGTGTGGTGTTTGTCAGAGGGTCCTAAATTACACGTTCATTATTTTAGTCTAACCGTATTCAGTTATGGTAGAAGACATTGATTTTTTCCGTGTTCAGTACTGAGCTTTCAGCTGGAAGTTTCTCCCAGAGAAATGAAATCGAGGAAAATATGTCTAAAATGTGTTGTAATGTTGTTAGTAATAGTCCTTAGAATCCAGTGTATTGGATTAGAGTGTAAATACAGAAATGAGATTTTTAAAGGAAATTTGCTGGGATTTTTTAAATATAGGTTTTCAAACATGTGGAACTTTTTTTTTTTTTTTTAAACATGGAAATGCTAGTATATCCACACTTACATTTTTGTTTCTAAAATGCTTGACGTAATTAGGAAATACTAAAATTGCCTGAGGTGAGACATGGTGAGCTTTTTCTTCACGTTTGATTCTGAGCTATCGCGGTGAACTCAGAGCTTACTTTATGTGTTTTTCAAACGCTTGCAACTAAGGGTCTGTGAAGGTAACAGTCTGCAAAGCGGTCTTAACTTGGTGGGGTTTTTAACTTGTCTGAAATTTAGTTAAGCTTATTAAGTTTACTTAAGCTTGCTTTTTATATGAGGAGCCTATGTAGTTGGTTGTTTACGATATAGAAATATTGGAAGTAATAAAGGAGTAATTTTTTGAATTAATGAAGACTCCTAGATCATCACAACACATGGTTAATTGTACATACAAAATCCAACTCAAACTACAATTTGAAATTCTTTCTTGAAATCTGAGCTCATTTATAATGGAGCTGCTGGTGTTTCTGAAGTTCCTGAGAGGGATCTTACCTCTCTGCATGAAATGGGTGCTCATCAGTGTCCTCATGTGTCATCTGGAAGCAGCCCTGAGGAAACACTGGGTTGTTGTTTTAATTATTATTTACAACAAATAAGAAACCATTAGGACACCCTGATTTGTCTGTTCTGCAGGATTTCGAGATTGCAAGTGCTGTTGTAGGATTGTGTCTGCATGCAAACGTTTGCTTTGGTGCGCAAGCCGCGCTCGTGTTTTATGGTTTTGCTTGTGCCGAGGAAGCCTCAGCCCTGTTTCCTGCCCTGGTTAGAGCCGCTTCAGGCGAGAAGCGCTGGCGGTGCAAATGCACCTCGGCAGCAGGTCCCCCGGGGGGTTTTGCACCGTGTTCCCCCTTAACAGCCAGTATGCGTAAAGTGCAGCTCCTGATTTCTCTCTAGCGTTGTGATGCTGTAGTGTTTGTAATCATGGAAATACGAGCTTTCTTTTATAAACGGAGCAAGGCTTTCTTGCAGTACGAATGTCATTCAGCTTCTTAAACTATCTTGTTTTATACATGGAATATTTAGAAGCACTTCTGATGTATCGCTATTCACTTAAGTGAGAAATAGCTCGGTGTCTGTGAAGAGATTAAATAGTTACTGAGTTGCTAATGTAGATGGATTGCCCTGCTGCAAATAAAAATGACTTGTTTGAATTGATTTGTGCCACACTGACCTCTTATGTAGAGCAAACTTGCACATTTATACATAGCTGACTCTAGAAAGTCGTCTTGCTTTTTCTAAGCCTGGAGTTAATTCCTAAATTGTTAATTTTATGAGGGATTATAATGTGGTACGAATTAATTAACCCATTGTCATTTATGCCAAACATACATTTTAGAAATACCTCTGTGTAGTATCAGGAAGACATGCCTTTGTGTGGTGCACATAACACTGCTACAGCGAGATTAGCAGGAAAGTAAGTGGCACTGGGCATGCATTAGTCACTGTGACTTTAATGAGAAAAGACTGAACATTTACATCCTTACTTAGGATGTCTAGAGCTCTGCAGATATTCTCTTGTCTGAATTCATCTGTTTGTCACATTTTTTGAATTACGCTATTTTTTTTTTTCTCTTGGGTTCCAGGTTTTTTGTGCAGCATGCTGCAGCCTGAAATGCAAGTTGCTGTACATGGACCGAAAGGAAGCTAGAGTGTGTGTAATCTGCCATTCAGTCCTAATGAATGGTAAGTGGAAGGAGACTCTGAAACGCAGGGCTTCACTGGCTCTGTGGTGAGCTGCAGTGGTGATTTCTTCCTTTTATTTTTCCTTTGGCCTGCTCAAAATACTCTGTTTGTATGGGCAAGTGTTTAACATGGCAAAGGCCCTTGGGAAACGTGCTTGGAATCCCTGTGGAGACTGGGGGTTCCTAAACTGAATGTGATTAACGAAAGGTGAAAACCGGTAAGGTTGCAATGAGTTTGAAAGCTTTCATTTGTGAATGCTATTCTGCAGGATTGCAGAAATTGTGGGTTTGGGTTTGGGTTTTTTTTTTTTTTTTTAAATTCAGGAGGCTACCGGAAGCACTCTCCTCTGTCCTTTGATGTCTGCGTGGATAACCTCTTACATGCTTTTATCGGGCACCAAAGAGAAGAATTGTGCAGTTATGCCTGCTCTAGACTACGCACTATAGAGGAATGGGGAAGTAGTATTTATCCACAAAATAATCCAGCTGTTCTTGCTGCTAACTCCTGAGCTCCATGGTGCTAGAGGAGGAAGTCTCATCTAAAAAGAGAGTCTCTAAAAAGACTCTGAGAACTGAGTTCTCATCCTTGCTTGGCCATTTTACTGGATCAAACCCAGCATGATGTCATGGCTAAAAAGCTAAGGTGTAGATGGGACATAGGATGAGAGAAGTAAGAGGTAGTTACAAAGGTAACAAGTAGAATAAACAAAAGCAATATTAGCTATGCTCGGCATGAGGAAAGGCTGTATTTCGTTTAAACCGAAGGGCCACTGGATCTCTTTAGTATTTTATCCTTTGTAGTGTTAACGGTTTAGATATGGGGTATAAATCCGGGCAAACCTAGAGTATTCTTCCCCCTATGTCCTCAGGCTTCTGAATGTTTTAAGGACTTCCTGAGCTGGCAGTTACATTTGGGTAATTATGCTGTCCAGTTGACTTATTTTCCATGACACTGAGGCAGCTGTTACTGAAAGACCCAACGTTCAGTTTTTATGTCTGCGGTTCACAAGATACAAAAATTGGATTAGGTTGACAGAGGACCCACACGAATGCTTAAATCATGAGAAAACGTGTCTCGTCATGAGAAATTCGAGGCGCTCCATCTTTGGTTTATTAATGGTAAGATGAAGAGGTGACTGGATCTTGGTGTACAAGTATGTATCCGGATAACTGCAACTTGATGACAGAAGTTTCTTTGGTTGCAGCAGAAGGTCTGACAGGTGCATTCCAACGTGCCTTGGGTAGAATGAGAAGTCAGACAAATTGCCCTTTGAAACACAAACTTCCAGCCTTTAGGATGACTATGCTATTAACTACTGGGGAGTTAGCGTGGAACTTCTGCGGCTGCAAATGTTTGGATAAAGTTTGAAGGCTTTGCAATAAGATGGCTGCTATGGTTTAACCAAGAGTTAAATAGGAAAATTTCTGTTGTATGTTGGAGTTCAGACAAGATAGATGGTGGTATCTTTACATCTTATTTTATAATAGAGTATTTGGGCTGCTGTTTTCAGATCTGTTAATTTTTGTGAACATCTAGCTTAACTCAGAAGTCCATAGGTTTATTTTTCTCCAAAGAAGTTCAGTATAGGTGCAGGTTCAGTTGAAAATAACTGAGTGCTTAGTCTTGAGATGAGCATCCAAAATTAGTAGACAATTTCTGTTACTAAACAGGAGTAATTCTTTTCTGTCTCAAAAAAGATTAAAGCTTAATAAGACAATCTTTGTGCAGTGCTTGGAAAAAAGAAGTGGTAGGTTTTAATTATTAATAGTTCTTCACTGTAGCCAAATATGTAAGGTGGCAGAACGTTGTAGATTGTAATATCAAAGAATTAAGACTGAGTCTTGAAGATGACACTGTTGAAGGGCCTTTAAAATGCTACATTTTGAGATGGAGAAGGTAGCACATTTCAAGGTGTTCAAGAACAAGGAAGTGTACGCACACCTGGCAAAAGACAGCTGGCTCCTTTTGTGGTGAGTAGGATTTGTTTTCAGTTGGGGGAGAGGAGGCATCTGAAAATATTTCAGTGAAACCAAAAGTGTTCTTGTAAAAAGGCATAATAAAATTGATTGTGTTATAATGATTTCCTTTTAAAAGCCTTTCTGTCTCGTTGCCAGCATGGATACACATTAATGGCAGTGAGCAGTGCCACCACCGCTTGGTTTTATTGTAGGGAGAGTGCTGCTTGCATACTTAGGTGTATTTGCCTGTGAGCTACCTCTGTTTCTGTGCCTGCTGCAGTGCTTTGCAGTGATGCTTTCTGTTGCTGGTTAGTTACCCTGTAGCCTGATCATGTCGAATCCCTCCTGATCCAGGCAGTTTCTTTGTAGGTTCAGATTTTTTTTCACTGAGTGCAGCAGGATAAGCATTACTCTTTGCACGGATTTGCAAATGGGGGTAGGAATTATACTTTAAAAACAATTATTTGATTTGGATGAAATATTCAGCTTCAAGTTTGCGTTTCACTTTTTTGTGTGTGCGTGTTTTCTGGCGCTTGTCCATGGACAGGCTATGTGCTTAATAAGTTTCCACGCTGCTTTTGCTGTACTTTCAATTGATAGGTATGCTGAGTTGGCACTTTGCTTGATTGAGGGAAGACTTTAAAAATGTTCTTTTACCTTCCTATGAAAATTCTAATAAAGGGATCCTAGAGATGTAACTTTTATTTGTGCATTTTTAACTCTTTCTTCTTTCAAGACCTATACTCTTAAGAGGGTGCAGAATTGCTGTTTAAAACACTTGAATTTAATTAATCCCTCTTCTCAAAAGGAAATGTCAATGCCTTTGTCATGACAGGTATTTCACTCTGTTGGTGCTGCAGGTCGGTGGGAGGAGGAGGGAGGGGGTTATGTCCTGCTGTGTTCCGTTTGTTACTTCAGTCTTGTTATGCTTTCCATGGCTTTCTGGCGATTCGTAGCCAAAGGAAGCCAAATATGTACGTGATTTATTCAGATTTTCTTAGCTGTTCTGAAAAGGGCTCAGGTGGCAGGATACCTGCGCCCGATTAGAGGAATGCTTTATTTGTAACATGCGCATAAGCTTGAAGGTGTAAGTTTCCTGGTACCTTGCATAGCTACAGGCCTTTCTTAAAGTTGCAAAAGAAATAGCATCTCTGTGGTGGATGTTGTTGACAGAGAAGTTGTAATGTGACGTAGTTTGGGCAGTAGGATTAAGGCTCAAGTCGTGTCTTCAGAAATTAATAGCGTGAGCTTTTTTATAATTAGGAATATAAGTTGTTGGTGTGTACTGATGTGCCTTGGATATAAACAAATGCAAGGTGCTTTTCTCGTGCAGAGAAGAGAAACCTGCTCAATTGTCCGGTAGTTTATAAAACATTCGCAATAGGAACTAAAGCGTTGCTTGGTAGGCTCTTATAGAATACAGCGGTGGTAAACATATAAGAATTGAGTGTTTTAAATTAAATCTTTGAAGAGGAAACAAAATGAGGGATGAGGAACTAAGCACTATTCAGGTCAAAGTTCATTGTTATCAATTTCAGAAATTTCAAAACGAGGTGATATTTTTACTGCGTAGCATCAGTGCTCTTTCTGCGTGCATTTTCACTGTGCATTTTGTTCTTTAACAGTTTCCTGGGCTTTTAAATGAAGGAAGAGAGATGGCCCTTGGAAGGTGGCAGAGCTCAGAGCTCAGTGGCGGAGAACTTAGCACAGTTTTATGGAGTGTTAGGCACGTTCCTCTGTGCTCATGTTGCTTGTTCTCTGTTTGCTTTAGCTCAAGCCTGGGAGAACATGATGAGTGCCTCAAGCCAGAGTCCTAACCCTAACAATCCTGAAAAAATGCTGAATACTGTTCTACTATCCCTCCTTTGCAGCAGGCTCAGGCTTCAGGCGCCCTGAGCTCCCCGCCTCCCACTGTCATGGTACCTGTGGGAGTTTTAAAGCATCCTGGAGCAGAAGGTAAGAATACTTCTATTCTTTTTTTCTTTCCGTTTAGCTGTAGTAAAAAGTTGGTAAAAATACCTGCACTTCATCCCTTCCAAACACTCTGGCTAGTGCCAGTTGCAACATGCCTGCCCTCAGTAGGGAGGTCAGGTTTTTAAGGGCAAGTAAACCGTTCTCAGCAGAGGCGCGTCTTAGGCTACACATGGTGCTGCCACAGGCAATGGACTAGAGGATGTCGCAAGTCCCTTCCAGCCCACATTTCTCTCTGTATTAATTTTTTTTTTTTTTGCTTTTCTGTACTCAAATTTCCCAGTCAATGTTGTGAGATGTTAAATCCGATGTTTTTTTTCTCTCTAGTGGCTCAGCCTAGAGAACAAAGGCGTGTTTGGTTTGCTGATGGGATATTACCCAATGGAGAAGTTGCCGATGCAGCAAAACTGACAGTGGCTGGGACAACTTCCACGGGAACCTTAGCAGTGTCACATGATCCAACAAAGCCTGTGACGAACAACACTTCATCAGCCGAAGTAAGGACGCGTTACGCTAGTCAGTGCTCAAAATACCGTGCTTGCTCTGGTCATGAATAGTATATTAACCTCTATGGTGATTTCAGTAAGACCGTTCTGGGAAAGCTATTGAGGCCTGTTTGGGTTGCATATTAAGTGCCCTCACTTTAATGTTTGCAGAGTATGGAAACAAGCATGTTTTGGACTGAAATGAACTCTTCTGTGGCAGAACACGAAGCGGTGTTTGAGGTCCACATGCTAGGTGGCTTCAAAGTTTTAGGCTGTACAGCTTGTGTATGTTTGTGTAATGCATGTTTTAGAAAAGCTAAGTTGTGGTCGGTAAGGTGTTTGAAACAAGAACTGTCACTCTTTGTGACAGTGCTAAGCAGGAGAATATTTTATTTGACATATTTTCTTCTAGAAAGATTTATGCATGAAAACACAGCTGTAATCTAACAGTATTAAAAGCACTATATTCCGTATGAGAGGAATTGAGACTTTGCAAAAGGTCAGATGAGCACAGGTACTCTCTTTACATTTTGTAAGGAAATGGGTATGTGTGGTAGTAAAGAAAGGAGATGCAGTCTCTGTTTAAGTAGGCTTTTTAGTGTAGTTCGCACACAGTAGTCGTCATTATCGTCTGTTTTTAAGAGCCAAGTTAGCTTGGTACTTCTGATTCTCTTGCAGAGACAAAACTCCTTCACTTACATCTAGCAATCTAGTCAGCCATCTCTTATCTTTTTATCATTATTACTTTTGTAATGTTGTACTTTTTTATCATTTGCTTCTTGTAGACTGATAACACTTCGGTATTCTCGGGAAGTATAACTCAGGTTGGCAGTCCTGTTGGCAGTGCAATGAATCTAATTCCTGAAGATGGTCTTCCTCCAATTCTCATCTCCACTGGAGTAAAAGGAGGTGAGAGGGAAAACTGGCAGCTAGCTTCGATGCTTACCAGTTGCAGTTAACCCATTAAGTTACTACATTTATTTTAAGAATAAGATGTTGGCAATACGCTGAAGACCTGAAGAAATTCCCAATAAGTGCTCATATGGCTAAATGTCGTGACGCTCGTTTGCATCATTGATCCTTGTTAGCATCCAGGAAGAGCCCCATTCTTGCAAGGAAATTACTGTCAAAGGTAAAACACAAAGCAAAAAGAAAATTAACTTCAGTCCAGAAAGAAGTGCTTTTTTTTTCCCCCCCCACTAATCAGACTGTGGGGAATGTTCCACACAGAGATATGTTTTAATTAGCCTTATGAATATTCATGTTTCCCTTTGCTGAAAGCTCTTGGAACATCCACTCTGTCTGAGGCATCCCAGAGCACTGAATTCGATGGCACCGTTACACAGCTTGGCCTGCAGTGAAGCTTCTAGTAATTGTGATGTCCACTCCCAGAGTATCCAAATGGAGGAGGATTCAGAGAAAGGAAAACTAATTTTTAAAAGGCAAAAAAACATTTCTTTTTTTCTTTCTCCAATAGTTGCTTGCCACAGTCTGGTTCATGACATCCTATAATGCATTCCTGGGATTAGCTTATATTTCATCTTTGATTTTTATATTTCTATTAAATTTTTTGCTGGCAGAATATATTTTTAATGTTAAGCAGGAAGTAACCTTTTATTGCAGGGTACTGTCAAAAACAAATATGCAAGCAGCATTTCATTTCAAAACAAATCTGTTTCATTCTGTGTTAGCTGCTCATGTGGGTGCCTAATTATTCAGTCTCTTCCACAATAAAGAAACAAGGAGTGAACTACTTAGGCTACACTATACTTTTCTGCACACAGCCCACATCTTACAAGCACATGAATTTTATATAGATGTCCTCACGTAAATCTTATTTTGTATGCTAAGATGATTTTGTTTCATGTGCTGTCACATACTGGATTCTCTTTGCAACATTTTACTTCTTCCAATATTGTAATTCTATTTAAAAACATTCCAAAAACATTTTTCACATTAGAAAGTGAAATTACCTTTCTTTCTAGATAATTATAGCAGGAAAGATAATACGTTTCTTTCAAAGTCTGTTTTCATCAGTGTAACTACTTTTTTGTTAAAGCTTAAATGCAGAATAGATTATAATCACTCAAATGGATGAAAAATTTACATTTGCTAGTCATATGGAGCTAATCATGGAGGGAAACTACAAACATTTTCTGAGTTTTCTTTTGGGATCCGTTTTATGCTGGATTTAGACCTTCTAGGTTCTTTTAAAAACGCTGTTTTATGTAGCGTTTCCCCGCTTCTGTTACCTTCCCATTAGCTAATGCACTGAAAGAGTCAGTTTTGTGTAGTAGGTATGAACTGTGTGCTGTGTTTCTAGTCCGGGACTGATGCTGCTATGCTTTACTGTGATATAAATGATTTTGTTATCATTTGGGATTTCAGTTGACACTATGGCACATTTTGATTTGATTTCTATTTTCTCCTCCAGTAGATACATACAAAAAAAAGTTGATTTATAAAGCAAACTGCACTTTCCGAAAGGGTGTACAGGGGTTATGCACCTGAACGCTATTGAAGTTTGAATATACTGGGAAAACAAACAATCACATCAACAATACTTAAAAAAAAGTTTTTTAAAAGGTCAGGCAAAATGCATTAGAGCCAGACTTTATTGGTTATAATATACAGTACTGTACCAATAAGTTAATGACTTCACTATGTGTTTACTTGTTTCGTTTATAGACTATGCGGTAGAAGAGAGACCTTCTCATATCTCTGTTATGCAGCAGCTGGAGGATGGTGGCCCTGACCCTCTTGTATTTGTTTTAAATGCTAATTTGCTGTCTATGGTAAAAATCGTAAATTGTAAGTTCTGTTATTAATTAAGGCTTGGTGGGGGTGGGGGGGGGAATAATATGTATGTTATTCCTAGGAACGGCAGCATTTTTATTTGGTAGGATAGTCTCTGGAAATGTGCATGGACTTAAAACTTTGTACTTAGCCATATTAAGTTATATTATGAAAGACTCTTTTCCAGTGCTTTAGGCACTGATACAGATAATTTTGTATAGGAAATATAAACTAGAGTGATAATAGTGTCAAAAATTGAGACTGGAGGCTCCATCTCCTGTCTGCTGAATAAGGCAAGCTATTTTATCACTCGTTCTTCCTCTGGTTGCTGAACTCATTTCCTTGTCTTCCTATTCTGGAAAAAGCAGACAGGATCCTGTGGCATCTCTCATACCCTTTTCTATACTATGCATGTATGTATATGCACGGAGGGAGGGAGAGACAAATGGGGAGGCATATAGGTTGCCTCTAATTCTAGTACTTCAGTTGGTCTCTGCTGGGTAAGAAATCCTTATTTGAAAAATTGAAAAGGACAGTTTTGTAGCAAAGTGTTTTGATTCTGTGAAATATTCATACAGTAAATTGTTGCTTATAAATCTCTCAGCACCTGACTAGGTAGCAGTAAATTTTTGTGTGCACACACACACCTACGAGAAAGATTTTACTCTATTAACTTAGTAGTCTCAGCAAATGAATTGTGAAGATTAGAGCATATGTTACACCAACATTCCTGTGAAGGGAAAGAAAACACTGACATCTCATGAAAACACCTGACATTCCCAGCTATCCATTGAGAGAGAGAGAGATCTGTTTGAAACTGGTTTAGCTGTCAGGATTGTGGAGTGCACAGCCAGCAGTCTGGCTTTGTCCCCTTTCATTCCCATTCCAATCCTGTGCTATAATTTGGGTACAGAAACTGCTAAAGGTCTGCTCTGTGATGTTAATCCCAAGATCTGACTGGGAGCCATAATGCTGTGGCTCTTGCTTAGCTGCCAACCCAGAATTGTTGAGCTGCTTTTGTTTTGGATGTGCTTGCTTGTAAGGTAACAAATTTAGAACGTTATTTGTCTGTGTGACAGATCCCAGAACCATGCATGCTGTAAAACTGATTCCTACAACAGCTGTCTTTCTGTAGTGAAATTTAGGCATGTTTTGTGAAATTCTGATTTTGTGTTTTGATCTGTTTTCCTCTCTGCAGATGTGAACAGGAAGTGCTGGTGCTTCACTACAAAAGGGATGCATGCAGTGGGGCAGTCAGAGATAGTGATTCTCCTGCAGTGTTTGCCTGATGAGAAGTGTTTGCCCAAGGATATATTTAACCATTTTGTGCAACTTTATCGGGATGCCTTAGCAGGTAGGAATGCTTTCTGTGAAGACTGGGTTGGATGGATGATAGTACTGGATCAGACACTCACGTTTCTATCGTTTAAAAAATGTCTACTTTTGTTTAAAGGAATATAAAAAGAGAATAAAGATCAAAGCTGACAGGGGACTGAGTTTTTATTGGTGATTACTACCTACACTATCTACTACTACTACAAATAAAAGTGCTAGTGAGGTGTTGGTAACATGGGGAGCTGCTCTAAAGATCCTCCAGCCTTCCTCTGGGTGCCAGCACGCAGTAAGTCTCATGTGTAAAGGCCCTGCATGGATTATTATAGCAATGGAGCAGGAGGACCGTCTCTGCAGCAACCTTTGCGTTCAGCAGCAGTTGCTTAATGTCTACTCTGGCTACCTCTGCCAGGTGTGGGGCTTAAAATTTGAATAAGGGTAACACATCTGAAATTAATACTCTTACTTCTTTTAGTGTCAAGTGTAGTAGGATGCTCAGCAGGGCTTATGGGTACTGTACTAACATAACTTTTTTTTTTTTTTTTTCCGTTATGAAGTAAGAGTAGCTTTTCTAAAGAATCAGAAAATTTAGAGAATCACTGTGCATACAATGTTCAGTATCCCCGAACCAGGTAGTTCAAAAGTCTGATTCCTATAGGATATGTCTATTGCCACATTATGGAGATAATTATACTGTAAAGTTTATGTGTATGTGTGTGTGTGTGTGTATATATGCTTGGAGTGAATTGTATGTGTTGCAGTAATTATCCCTGAGTATTGGATTTTAGTATCTCCATCACAAGATTATATTACGTAAAGCTTTATACATTTTACATTTGCTGGGTAAATGGGCTGCCACTTTTAACTATTGTTGGACCTTAGAATTCAAAAAACCTTGCGTGATAAGGAAAAACACAAGTGCTTGGTTCCACTGGTTAGAAAATAAAAGCTAGTTTTTCAAAGGTGAAGTTGCATCGCATGCAGTGCGGGGCTATACACTGAAAATACATATACAAAGGGTTCTGAGTAATCGTTCACAATGCCTTTGCAGTGTCTGAATCCAACTGTTTAATGAAATAATTGAAAAGATTTTTTTCTCATCAGATGTCTTGTTACACAAAGGTCAGTTTGTCCAGAGAGGTCGCCAGGTTCCAAATATGCTATTATTGTATGTCATAATGCAGTTCATGTACCCTGGAAGCAAATGCATTTCCAAACCTCACTTATTTGCAATGCCTTATGTTCTAATTATGATGGTATTCAGAGAGAGATAAATATGAAGAAAAAAAATATATATGCACAAATATAATTCCAGTTTGTATATATTGCAGTGAAGCTCTGTATAATTGCACTTCAGACATACATAATTTATATCTCCCGCATAATGTATTTGGAATTCCTTTTTTAGTGCTCTAGTGGTAGTAATTTGATATCCTACAATTGCAGTGGTGCAAAATGCTGCTTGCGATTGTACAATTTTTAATCAGAAACCAAACTTCAGTGTTTAAGAATTCCACTCTTTAATGTCCTTTTGATAGTATTTGCGCTATCTCGTATTTCAGACACGTAACAGAAACAAATACCCACCTTGAGTTGATATATGTATGGTATAATACCAAACAGCACTGAAGCTATCATAGACCATAGCACCTAGATAAATTCCCATAACGTTTTGTAATGCCGCCTGTCAATACCCATCCTTTTTTCTTTCCCAGTCATGTGTGTATGGGAGAGAGAAGTATATGTTAGCATATTTGCAGCTCTGGCTGTTTTCAACATTTTTCAGCTAGAGAGGCAGGATATGGTGCTGTGGGGGTTTCAGTTTGGAGGCTGTAATCCCTTGGAAGCGGTTAGCAGTTTGCGTGCTGTTGCAGATGCATCCACGCTTCCAAATTTTGTTCTTTTTTGGAGGTACTGCATTTCTTCTGGAGATTAGATGGTTGAGATTTAGAGTGAATGAGAAGCCCCTGTAGAAATTAGAGGCTGTTTGAAACCCTGCCTCACAGTTTGATTTTTCATTATATAATCTATTGATTTGAATTTATTTTGCAGTTAGGAAGCTGAAATAAATTTTGTGGGTGTGTTTTATTTATCCGCTATAGTAAATGTTTTCTTAAAAACAGTCACAGAATGAAAAGACACACACAGTATTCTTTACTGGACTGGAAACAAGAATTTCATATAGGGATGTCGATCTTGTTTTGGAATGAGTTTGGTTTTGTTGTTGCATTTGTTTTTAACTGAAAAATATACATTTAATTTTCCTCCACGTTTATTTAATTAAAGCCCAAATCTGTATCAGTCTTTTTTTTTCTATGAGCCATTTATTTACTAGCTCTTCCTGCTCAATTTTGAATTGTGCATTCGAGCCTAGAAGCAAAAATTTGTATGTACTTGTGCCTCTTCCCAGATGTTTCTGCTCTCCTCAGAGGTTGTTACTCAGGGGCGGTCCTGTCCTCGGCGCTGGGTACTGCTCTCAGCCCTTCGCTGCGAACGTGCTTCGGGCATGTGCAAGCAGGGGCAGCAGAGCCCAGGTCGTCCTTTGGATTTGTCTCCTGTTTCAGCTTGGATAAGATTTCAGTCTGTTGCAGCAGCGCTCTGAACCTTCATTAATGTTGTTTTTATGAGAAGTCTTCAAACCCAAGCTGTGGTCTGGTGTTAGGACTTTATAATTGTAAAACAATGAAGAGATTTGGAAGGAAAAAGGAGATTTTTCGCTATAGGCTGCATGCATGTGAGGTATAATAAATTGCAAAGTTGTTGATTAAGGCAAGTATTAATTGCTGTTCTGTTTCTCTTACTTTATTTTTCCTCTGGCTCCTTTGTCATCAAGATCCCTGCTGTGTTGCTTTGCTTGTTTTGAAATTGAAAGCTAATGGTTTCTGTTGTAGTAGTAATCCCAGGATTATCCATGTCTGTTGGTTTATAAGCCTGGCAGCAGGTCCAGTGAATGGAAACATGAGAACTTCTGTCCATCTGAATGGGTACTTTGAAGCAGTTGGATGCGTCAGTGTAGAGCTGCTAGATAGGCCTTAGTGCATCATCTCTTCTCTGGCGGAGTACAATAAAGGCTGCTGTTACTTTTGTAAGGAAAATGTAACTCTGGCAACTCTTGAAATGGGTTTGTGGCAACAACTCTTGAAATGGGTTTGTTATGTCTGTATTTTTGGGGGTGTTCTGGATGAGGGTAGATTGTTCTGAATTATACTTTTAGCACATTTTTTACGTAGCCTGATTTTAATTAAATAAACCTGTCGCTAATAGAGAGTGGATCTATAAAGAAGTGCATGTAGATGTTTTGAACGAAGAACAGGCTAACTGAGTAAATAATGCACCCTTGCCAAGTGTCTCATGAACAGATGGACACAAAACCAGATCGGATACAAGGTGGGAGGGTGACTGTTTGGAAGACCGCCCCACTGTAGTTTGAGGAAGTTTTGGACGCTGATAACTGCTGCGCACGTTGCTAGTGAGTGGAGCATTGTGTCCCTTGTCAGTATGAGTAAGTTCTTTCTGAATTACTTGCTGAAGTGCTTCAATAAAAGGCTGACAAACATGTTGTGCCAGTATGTTACGTCCATGGCCTTATCTCTTCCTTGTCTCTTGGCCCGTGGTGTGGCAGTGAAGTGGGGTTGTGTTGCATTTCCAAAGAGTGTGTGTGTGTGTTTGCTCTTGAAGAAAATGCAGCTGGCAAGATTATCCCCAGGTGAATACTGCTTTGGATCTGCTGCTGGGGAACTGGGGTGCTGGGGTTTGCAGGACGCTGGCACAGTGTTCGGTGCTCGGCGGTTCTTGGCTGTTACTGGTGACTGTGGAACGAGGCCTGGCAGACGCAGCTCCCGCTCCCCCGAGCTGCATGCGCGTGCTTGCCCCGAGACTGGATGCTGAAACCAGCCTTCGGACCTGGGATTAACCAAATGGTATGGGGCACGTATCAGGAATGTAACCTCACTGTTCCTGGCTTCATCATGTACTGGAGGCAAAAAAGAAATGCAGAATCTTTTTACTTTAGCTTTCCTGGTAGGAACTGTTTTATGGGAGTCCAGAAAGGATTGCCAAACTGATAGGCAAAGTATATTGTTCAGTAGGGGAAGATGCCTAAGTGAAGGGTTCAAAAGAGTATGGATCACGACCAAAGAGAAAGTCACATCCGTGGATGCGTGATTTTTCTAAAGGACTTCATAGAGCTGCTTTGGATTTAAGGTCAAGGGTAATCCAGTATAATTGAGAACAAGGATAGATTCCGACTTCCTGCAAAGCTGCTTTAGATGCATCACACACACTTATGGCACTTTCTAAGTAATAATATTAATTGTCTAATGTTAGGTGCTCGAATTTAATATAAGGAAAGGCACCTTTCTGTTCACTCCAGGATTACTCCAAGTTTATCTCCTTTAGAAAGGAAGCTGTGTTATTTTGTAAATTAAATGACATGTCTTTGAGAAGGAGCTTTTTTGAGAGTTCTTCCGACAGCTGCACTTTCTCTACAGGCTGCTGAAATACTGTTCGATGCTTAAAACGTGTAATGATGTTGGGTTTGATCTTGTTCACTTGTTAATAGCTGCCCTTTATTTAAAGCAGCTGGATGGCAGATTGTGTCCACACAAATGAAAAGTGTTTGGAAGTTTGTGAATGTTTAATAACTTATAAGTGGGGCCTTGACTTGGAACAGCCTTCAAAGTCAGGACAGAGAGGAAAGGCTGACAACCCTGCAGAGCGCAGAGATGTTTGTGAGAGAAGCCCAAAAAGGCTTTTTGACTCGGGCTTGCTGGTCGTGAAGAGCACTAGGGAGGTGGGTAGGAAGACGCTTGCTGTTGGATTCTTCCCGTGCGCTCCACAAAGCAGGAGGTTGCATGTTCTTATAAACAGAGTTGCAGCACAGTCACCTAATCCCAAGAGTTTGTCCTCTTCATAGTGGAAACCTATTGGAGCCTGCGCTGCATCCGCTGCCTGTGTCAAAAGGAGTAATTTATAAAGCCGTGGCGTATGGTAGCAAAGCACTGAATAGCTGAGTCGCAGATTCCTCTCTTGCAGGGTTTTTCATGTTTCTGTTGGCTGAGAAGAGTCTTGCTAAGGCAGCCCAAGCGCGTGAGCCTTGAAGCGCCATCTCCTGAAACGGGGAAAATAAGTAGTCGTCCCCTTCTGCTGCAGCGCTTGGCGTCAGTCACAAGTGGAAACGTTAGATCGCTTTGTCATGGCGGTGGGCAGCACTTGGCGTTGCCGAACCACCCGGTTTTGTACAGCTGAGTTTTGCCTACCCTCTTTCGCACAAAAAGCACATTAGGGTGCAGAATTAAGTTCAGTTAAACAGTTCATGCATTTTATACGTTTTAAGGTTAGAGAGGACTATTAGGGTCACGGTGTTGGAACCAAGAACCGCACCAGGTGATTTTACTAGCCAGTCTGTAGTGTCTGTTTGGATAATAGCAGATGGGAAGGGAAGAAGGAAGTATAAATGAAGAAGAGGGGTGGGTGGGAACTGGAAACGAGCAGAGTTGAGACAGAAGGATGCCAGCAGCTATTTTAGATCAGAGAAAATCTTTCCTGAACACCGATTAGTGCCTTGGTTTGCCCTCACGGGAGGGATGGCTGGTGCGTTCGCTGAGCAGGCACAGGCTGGCCAAGACCCGCGTTTGCAGCTGGGCAGGAGCAGTGCTGCTCAGCAGCTGACAGCCTTTCATGTGGCTCCGTTAATCACTCGAGTCCTTCCGGTTGAGGAACGGTTGAGGAACGGCTGCTTTGCATCAGCTGAGCGCTTACAGCAGTTGTGAGCGCTGGGAATCCTGGCGTGAGCTCTGGGCTGCGGCCGCCAGCTCTGGCTCGCGTGCGCGTGTAAAATTACAAATGGGCTTTGCAGGCCGGCCACAAAGCGCGAGCGGGCCTCACCCTGGCACGGGGCGCCCGGGCCGCTGAACCCCGCTGCCTTTTATCAGGGAACCTGGGAGCTTGGTTTGCGCAGCGCCTTGCGGGCACGGCGAGAAGAATCCAACTCAAGGTGCCGAGCCGTTTGAATAGGATGGAAAAGCCTGCTCTTATTTGGGATTTGGAGGTATAAAAGGAGCCTTTTCTCTACAGACCTGACGGTAGCAGTTTTATTCTTACGCCGACACTGGCTTCAGCGAGAGTCGCTATGACTTGAGACTTTCGCAGGGGATCAGTGTAAGGGACAGACTTAACACCCTCGCCCTCCAACCAAACCAACCTCTTTGCTGGGTTAACCTTTCGTTTGCTGGCCAAAATTGTACTTCTTATGTTCTCCTGTGTTTGAAAATGCGTGGGTATGATTTTTAGGCTATTTTGTTGTATAAAATGGAGAAGGTTTAATTTGAAGATCATATTTGGATGACTGAGGATTCATTATAGTTGCATTTCTGTGACTTGTGCTTTTTGCTTACTGAAGACCTAATGCTCTGTGTGTGTGCGCGTGTGTGTGTGTGTAAAGGAGAAACTTCCCAGTCACCATGTCCAGTTCATGTGCGTGATGAGGAAGAAGAGGGAGGCACAGCGTTTCTTTTTCTCTGCCTTGAGTCAGTTTTTTTTACAAATATTGCATTATGAGTTGGTGGAGAGAGAGCAGAAACTCCTACTCAGCCGTCTCTCTTTGGATGCTGGATGATGACTGTGAGAGAAATTGAGAGGCAGTTACTGCTGGTGAGGAGCGTTGTCTTCGCTCTTGTTCTTTGTGCTCTGCAAAGAGGGGAGGGAGCATAAAGGCGTGGGAGACCGGGCAGCAGCACGCCCTCGGGGTCAGCTCTGCGTCCGCGGCAGGGGAAGCCCTGGCACCACCGCAGGAGCCCTAGAGGTCTGCGTGGATGCCTCGAACGCCAGCGATCGCACTGTTCTCTCTGAGATTACTTGTTTCTCCTTGAGAGCAAATCAGCACTATTAATATTCACATCTTCCTATGGAGAATAGCCATCAGCTGTTCTGTACGTTATTTACACGCTGCTGTTAACGTTTGATAAAAGGAATCACACCATGGCTCTTTGCTCATGTTAAATGCTGCATTGCATGCTGTAATAATCTAATCAACATTCAGATTCATTCACTCATTCCAGCATAAACAGTTTTGGAAATTAAGAGCATCAAAGAGTGAAAATTTGAGTAAGAATTAGTGGTATTTCTCCCCTGGGTCTTTCCCAGTTGCATTTTACATAAAGTATGCTAATTAAATAAACACTCTTTTGTGTAATTTCTCAAATGACCCAGATGTTTAATATATATCTGGGCAGGCACTTCATTGGTTTGCGTAACAGGAAGGGCAACTAGTGGGCATTAATCATTTGACCAGGTGCATTTGTACCCACCTCTCCTTGAGCTGTTTTCCTTGAAAAGAAAGGAGTAGGCATTGCATGTATTTAGCAGTGTATTTCTCTATATGCATGTACAGCTAGAAAGACGGAGTTATAAAGGAGAGGTGGTGGGTCTGTGATTGTAGGTATGTCCTGATATACTTGTAAGCATGGCTGAAAGTCAGTCGAGTGCAGAAATGAAGGTATTTGTGCATGTTCCTGAACATCTGACTTCCTAACACTGAAAGTGAGTACAAGTATCACCAAGGGTGGATCGATTGAGATAACTGTGGCTTTGGTGACTCTAGTCTAAAGCAGTTATTCCATAATAGACAATGCAGTTTTGCACAAGAGGTAGCCTGAACCCCCACGGGTAGCAAATCTTTGTTTCTTGTGTGATTCATAGACTGTCATGAGGAACATAGCTTCAGGAAGCAAAGTCTGTTTAATATGACTTTTTTTCTCTCTTCTGAAAAACTCTTTAAATTCTTGGTATAGCTCTCAATCTAGTGAAATAACAAACGTGTTTGTTCATAGGAAACGTTGTGGGCAACCTGGGACACTCCTTTTTCAGCCAGAGCTTCCTCGGAAGCAAAGAACACGGGGGCTTCTTGTACGTTGCGGCTACGTATCAGTCCCTGCAGGACCTGGTGCTCCCCACCCCACCCTACTTGTTTGGCCTCCTCATCCAGAAATGGGAGACGCCCTGGGCTAAAGTGTTCCCCATCCGGTTGATGTTGAGACTTGGAGCCGAATACAGACGTAAGTATCGTAGATCCTTTTAGCTACAGTAATTTCTACAGGAGAATATAATCCGGTTTAGAGAACACCCAACCCTAAATTGTTACTTTTCAAAGCCCATATAAGCTTAAATGGGCAAGTAAAAACTGTTATTGCTGGTGTTTCGTACCCGCATTGCCTCCAACTAACAGCACAGCAGTCCTGAGGTTGCGATATGACCTACAGCCTTTTTACAACATCTGTACTAGCTGATCAGGGAGATTTTCACGGAGGCAAATCTAGTTCTGAGCAACTGTTCCTTGCTCACTTAGTGACCTGAAATGTGCAGAACAAGTCTGACTTAGCTGCTGTATTTAGGACAAATGACGGCTTCAGAGATCTTAAGCTCTTTCTATGGTGAAATGGAAGAGCATTTGCTTTTAGATTTTTTTAAAGCATGTTCGTTATCCAGAGAGAAATAATATATGTCTAGGGGCCGCTAACTTTGCAGTTTGTTATAGAAATTCTGTTGCAATTAATAACAAATAGGTTGGAGAGGGTGTTTCGGCTGAAGTAGATCTTGGCAGTTAGCGTAACATTAGCATAAAGTTAGGATAAAAACTTTTGGAAAAGACACTGGCCATCATTGGTTCAAAGAGACATTATTGTAAGTCTGTCCGCCATGATGGGTCAGAAGTTTGCTGTACTGCTCATTTGCTGCCTTAATTGACTGGTCTGGTAAAGCTGACTTATTGTGAAAATGGACTGTTGTTAAATTTTTTTCATATGTGCTTACCAGTCTTTCTGTAGATTTAACAAAATAAGTTTTAGGATATGCCTTACAGTGATTTGTAAATATAACTTGTGACACTTGGAAATTTTTCATAAAACATATATTTTAGTATAGAGGAAAAAAATCTTCAAAACTTGCTTTCTGAGGATGAGAACTGTAGATGAAACTTGACTAAACAAACATCAGTGTTAAAGGTGCTGATGTTTTTGCATGCATCTGTGAGGTTTTTAAGTAGCATATTTATTCCTGTCAACATTTAAAAAACCAAAGATGCTTGTATTTAGGATGCGACATCTGTTTTTAGCACAGACACAAATGTTTTGATATTCATAGCTAGAAGTACCTGCTTTGGGTTTGTTAGGGAGCGAGGCTTGAGTCTCTCGTATGGCTGTGGGCTGGATTTGGGCATATTCGCTTGTCCTGTGACAGCTGCGGCTGCAGATCGTTTTCCCCCAGCCCCTGCCTTTGAGTGCCAGGTTTCCCTAGATGCGTCCTCTTTTCTGGGTAGAATTGGCAGATTTTGGCTGTTTGTCCAGTACTGCTGGACGTGCAGCAGACCAGTTGCGAGAGTCACTCTGGGCTGCTGGAGGTCCAGAAAATGACTGCTGAGCATCTGCAGATGAACCGTCACGCTCGAGTGCAGGAGTCGAGCGCCTCTGGGTGCAGCTGAGCTGCTGCGCGCAGCAGCCAGGGTGGCAGCGCAGGAAACCTGGCACTTCTCGGTGCGCTGGGGGAAGCAGTGCACGAGTTGGCCCGCTGGATGGGGCGCGCACAGGAGCTGTGATGCTTTCCACATGTGTCAGTGTGCAGAGCTGAGCGCAATTCCATCAGGAAATCCTGATGGTGTTACTCTGACCTGCTGAGCGTTTTGCGGCCCCTTCTGACTGCAGTGGGAACTGTGAAGATGTGCAGCGTTTTGGAAGCAGGCTAGGTGGGCGCTGGAGGATAGCTTAGGATCCTTCTTTCAGACACCCGTTTAGAAAAGCTTGGCATTACACGTTACTGCATGAGTCATGTTTCAGGCTCAGTTAGGGCTTCTGCTGCAACATAATGTAATGTAGCCAGATCCATACAGTACGCACTGAATCGCATCACAGATGTTTTGCCAGTCTGGCCAAGTCTGCTAAGGAATGCGGAAATTTTGCACTGTTGACATACTGCAAACGTCTTAATTCTTTTTGACATCCTCCTGTAGAGAATTTGCCACGTTTTCAAGATCTGTGGAAACAGAAGATTAAATAATATCAGTATTACCGCTTGTGTATGAGACACGTGTCAACCGTTGAGTCTAAAGGCTTACGATGCTATAGCGGGAGGCTGCAGGATGGTCATAAAAACGGAGAAGCCGTTTCCATGAAGTATCTTGAGAAAGGCATTTAGGCAGGTTATCTTTGCAATCATTGTCCAAATCGCTGTGTTGAGACAGTTTGGCACTTGTAAGCGTTCCACATAATTCTTCTTACTGCTGCCAGCATGCTGGGCGAGGAGGCCTGGCACACGAGGAAGGCACGTTATGATAACGCCGCATCCTTCTTCCCTTCTGCTTTTTAAACTCTGGTCTTCCGCGCCGACCTCCTCTGCTGCTGCTGCTTACCATAGTCACCTGAGAAGATTGTATTTGTTTTTGCAGGATCTCTCAATAGGCAAATTTGAATCTGGCTTTTTTTTTTTGTCTTGTTTTCCCTAGTTTACCCATGCCCACTTTTTAGCGTCAGATTTCGTAAGCCGTTGTTTGGAGAGACTGGACACACGATTATGAACCTTCTTGCAGTAAGTGCCGAGTTTGCACGTTCCATTGGCGTGCATGGATCAGTGGGGGGAGAAGTGTGCTGCTGCACGTAGCAGCCGGCACGCCTAAACCACGACAAGAGGGAAGAGTGGGCATTTGAGCGGATGACCTGCTGTTATTGATACACTGGATGTCAACTTTTAACAGTGTGGTAAATTGTAAAAATTGTGCATCCAGATTAGCATCCAAGAGCTGGCCACTGGAGAATATTTAGACCTGGAAATAAATGCAATAATTGCTCAGGTTCCTTCCTCAAAATTGCCGAGTCATCGCAGTGTTGAGTCACAGCTCCCTGATCATACAGTTTCAAGTGAAACAAACTTATTAGCTCTTCCCACTTTGCTAATATTTTCGATATAGAAAATTCTCTTTGATGCATGACCTAATCTCACTGCTAGAGAAGCTAATGACTACGTAGTGATGTAACAGTACAGAGAACAAATTTTCTTATATACAGCAATGACATTCAAGGCTGGAGAATGCAGATTTTGGTGTAAGAAAATGAGTGAAATGACTACCAGACATCCTAAATTTTTTGTGTGTACGCTTGAATTACATAGGTTACAAGCTGAGGTTCCCTCCCTCCTTCCCTCCCTGCCTTTCAGTCACTGAATGCAGTTATTTTCACGGGCTCGCTAGTGGTCACTAGGTTAGTTATGAAACCTACTGTGTTAATGATGGTTACTGTGCCTGACTTTCTAAAAAACTGTTTTAATTACCAGGACTTCAGAAATTACCAGTACACGCTGCCTGTGGTCCAAGGTTTAGTGGTTGATATGGAAGTCAGAAAAACCAGCATCAAAATTCCCAGCAACAGATACAACGAGGTAATGCTTAAAATAAAACATGTGTTTACAGCTCCTTTGTGGTTGGAAGACCTGGGATCTAAATGAATGTTATTTTATTTATTACTGCTAATGAAAACTGCCTCAGAACAAACTATAAATACCTGATGCACGTGATTTGAGAGAGAAAGAGGATGTGTCCACAGGAAAAATAGACATACGATTCAATCTTGTAATTAGTTAAAAAGGAAGGATAATTTCTCTTGTTCTTCAGAGCTTTTAATTACTTCCATATAAAGTGTAAATAACTGAGAATATTAGAGGATTGCCAATACTATTCTGATTTGAGCAAATGAGTCGATAAACTTCAGGCTTTGGGTACGCTAGGAGAACTTTTGTCATCTGTGTTGTATGTGTTCATACTCGCAGCATTTATTAAAAGTTGTTGGACTGCTGATTCTTTTAGGTGAAATATGTCTACATATTTAAATTTTATTAATTTATATTTGATTTCTGGTGTGAGAAACTACCAGTTTTTTCCTGCTAGTTGGGATTCAGTGTTGTCGACAAGGCTGAGTGACAGAGATTTGAACCATGAAAGAAGTGGTAGTTTTGTGGGCGCTCTGCCTGAAGAGCAGGAGGCAAACGGTCGACTTGGTGTTTTGAAACAAATCAGCAGTTAGTGACAAAAGGAAACCTCCTGGGCAGAATGGGTTTTTGAATGTTCTTTTCGTATCAGACAAGAATACGGCTTTCTCTCATGGGAGAATTTCCCCGCAGGAGGCATTTGAGTAAAATAATAGTGAGAGTGAAGAAATATATTGAAAAAGGAAAAGGTGTTTTTATGTGAAGTTTGAAACTGGTGAAGCAAGAAGATAAAGGATCTGTTGTAAGGTATATTCATTCTTAATGATGTGAGAAAACAGAAAAGGTCACTAAAGCTTGCACCGATCTGAAATTACTGTATTGGGAAAGTGCATGAATTAGATATTGGCATGCAAGATGCAGTTTAATAAGCGTTAGCTGTGCCTGACATTCACAAATGTGTTATCGCTGCCCTAAGTTGAACTTTGAGAAATTCCTGCGTTATGCAGCAAAATCTCTTGTGTCATGCTTGGATTCTCTTTCCGGTGTGACGCACGGGTTCGGCTTTTTAAATGGAGAAAAGGTGTTACTTATTGAACATTATTGTATGCAATCCAGTTGGAAAGGTTGAATTTTACAGATTTGTTTTTATCGGAGCATAGTTTGATTTAATGGGAATTAAACCACAAGACCTTTACTTTGTTTCCCTTGTACAGCAGTATTTAATTAGCAAAGAGAGTGTCATTCGAACTATCAGAAAGTTAAAAGACTCATTTGAAATCTTATGCATGGATTATACGTGGTGAATTCAGATTGTAGTTGAGAAACTAAACACTTAGTATGTAGTATTTCACATTAAATACAGTTTTCTCTTCAAAATGATTTTCTTTTCCCACAACTTCTAGTGATACTGTTGGCTCTCTGACGCTATTTAGTCCCTCAGCAAAGGCGACTCTAATTTTTTAGTAAGTTGCTGTGTTATAAAGCACGCTTGCCATGTCCCGTTGTCTCTGACTAAGCGAAGGGCAACGGCTGCCCTCCAAAGAGATGGCTGCTGTTTAGCTAAAATCTCGGTTTTGGAGCATGACCTGATAAACTAGATAATGAAATACACTGCTGTCTGAGGCAAAATCGTAATTAAGTTTCCTCCCCAAACACTACACCTGTGCACGTTTGTCAATAGTGAGCCTCAGCTAATGTTCCTGATGCTATAATTAAGGTTTTATATTAGACAGAGAGCGAGAAATGTGTTGTGCGTAGTGTGTGTGGTTATCGGCTAGAGGAAGCGACGGATGTGCAGTTGGGAGTGTGAGTGCTGTTAGGGGATGTCAAAGAATTCAGCAATTTCCTTCTCTTAGGGTTTTCACTGGGGGGGGGGAGAGATGTAATTTAATTAGCTTTTTAAATAAAATTATTTTAATAACTTAATAGCTGTTTAATAATTATAATTAATAAATAATAATTCAGCATTTTCCTTCTCTTTAGGGTGTTCACGGGGGGTGCGTGAGTGTAATTTAATTAGCTGTCTTTCTTTTTTAAAGAAAAAATGGTTTATAGTTTTGAAATAAATTCCAAGGATAAATGACTGCTTCAGTTTTCTTTTTGGAGCAAAGATCTCATAGCCTGAGTCTCCGTGAAATGGAAGGGAGGAAAAGAGGGAGGGAGCTGTATGATTTACAAGGATATTTTGTCAAAGCGTTTAAGTAGATGTTAATTAGCAAAGCTGAAGTGAAGGTACATCAGAAAACTTAACAGATGCTTTTTGGAGGCTTCCTTTCCAGAGAATTCAAGTGATATCTGGATGTCCGTGATTCAAGTCTCTTTAAAAAGCCTTTGAAATAGGGAGCCTTGACTCCAATTTCAGCAATTCGTGAGGGTGAGGCCCGAAGAAACTGAAGCTGTGCTCTTTGTCACAGAGCAGAGTCGTGGCAGAACTAGGGTTAATGCCGTGAGTCTGAGTCCTGGTCTTTCTGTGGAGGCCGTGTTTTTCACTTGTGATCTGTATCATCTATCTTATAAGCAACTGTCGTAGTGTAAACCAGCCAGACATTACATCCACTTTTTTTTTTTTTTTAAACGTATTTTTTGACGTGGCTGGAGACAGTAAGTTTTTCAGCCCTCACCTGTCTGTCATGGCATTTATCCTAGTTACATCAGAGGTAGCCCTTTAAAACATCTACATGATATAAGGCCTGAACCCCCTTTCCAAAAGAAACGTATGGTTCTGCGTGCTGAAATCTCTTTGGAAGCGGGCGTATGAGCGCTATGGAGAACCTCGCTCTGTCCGATGGCGCTGTTCCAAGTATCACCTGCTTGTGGTAGTGCCTGGTGGGCAGCGTAAACACGGTAAACGTTTTTGTCTGCAGATGATGAAAGCCATGAACAAATCCAACGAGCATGTTCTGGCAGGGGGAGCGTGCTTCAACGAGAAAGCAGACTCGCATCTGGTGTGCGTCCAGAACGATGATGGGAATTACCAGACGCAGGCCATCAGTATCCATAATCAACCGAGGAAGGGTGAGAGCGGGCGTGCGCAGGGAGGCCCTGCCCCGTGTGCTGCGTGACTCGCCTTTCGCTGTTCGTGTTGCTGTTGCGGCATGTGGCTTCGTGAATTTGTCAGAATTGGGTTTGTCTGTATTTCACTGAGTTTCTGTTAGAAGTTCAGAGAAAATAATTCGGAGTACCCACGCTACTCAGCTGGCACCTTTGTAAGTTAGACACGCAATGCAAGGAAGAGCAGCACCCAGTAACACCTTGCTCTGTCTGCCCTTTGCCCCTCTCGGTGTTTTATTCCCCTTGCAGAACCTGTGAGCTCAGATGTCGGGCGCAGTAGGCGGTTCGCATCCTGGGTACAGTCCACATCGCTCTCCCCTGGGTCAACGACGCTGTTCCGGGTTTGTCTGAGCGGTGTTCTGGCAGCTTTGCAGGAGCAAAAGCAGGAGATCAAGCGAGAATAAAATAAATCACGTTACAGCTTGCCTCCCTTGTAAATACGGCCACACTGCTTGCACAATACAGCTTAGGACAGGAGCTGCTCCAAGAGGTCGCAGTGCTCTAACTTCCTTAGGCAACGTTTCTGTGTTAATAATGAGAGCAGTCCTTGGCATTACTGGAGGGTGCGGGCTAGGCTGCACTTGCCTGTGCTTGACCTGTATACTGTGGGAAAGGAGGAAGATTTTATTTTTTGTTACGTTAAGCTGAAATGCAGCAGCAAGTCTTGAGAATTTGAAAGTCGGGAGTTTGGGGGAAAGTTTATGGCAAAGCCATTTATGCTATCTCCAAATGAGAACAAGCAAGACGGAGGCCAACTCTTGAGTTGGCAACGTCCCCAGTCCCTCCGGTGAGTGTGTATGGCATGGGGGGGTCGCTCAGGGCTATGCGAGTTCTGCTCGTTTGACACGCGGGGTGGGAGGAGGGATTTCCAGCAGGTACCTTGGGATGCTTAGTGGTCATTTAAGAGAATTTTATTTTAAGCTGACTGGCTTTGAGCTGTGACCAGTGGGTTGGTATTGGTGTGATCTGTAAACAGCCCACATACAGTCTTTGCCAGCTGTGTGGGAACATTTAAAAATCAAATTATGTACTTGCTTACTCTAAAATACAGTCCTGAATCTTAGAGGTGTGTGGGGGGGGGAGGGGGGAGGGAGTGATTAAATATGAGCATTTATTAAGGTTGACAGAAACTGTTGTCCAGTTTAGAAAATCGCTGGGTGATTTGCCCTTCCTGATCCAAGCCTCTGACATGCATTAAAGTCACCGTAACTCTGAGCAGCATTCTTCCTGATTTAGATTAATTGCTTCTCTGGATGATAGAGCTGTGATACCCAGTTCTTGTATACGGCATTGTTTTGACAAAAGCCCCACTAAATCACTCCTGTGGTTGTTGTTGCAGTGACTGGTGCCAGCTTCTTTGTGTTCAGCGGAGCTTTAAAATCCTCTTCAGGTTACCTTGCCAAGTCCAGTATCGTAGAAGGTAAGAACTGAATTGCTTGCTTAAAATGCACTGGTTCGCTCTCACTGCTCCTTAGCTGTATCGTTCTTAGGGCTCTGCTGTTATGCCTTGGGCATTCGAATCATGCTGCTGTTCCAGCATTATCTTAGTTTTTAGCCAAAAACCCTGTCCCCTTCAAAGATGGGGAACTTAACTGAGAAAATAAATAACTAGTCCAGATGCTCTGGGACAGTGTCAGAAGAAAATGAGGGTAAGATATGAAATATCTGACTTGTGAGCCTGGGATCAGTTCACTGTTTTGGGCTGAATGAAGAAACTGTGAGCCTAAGAAATGTGGAACGTGTAATCCAGCAACCAGAGAGGAAGCCCTGCTAACCTAATCCTGTTTCCCAAGTAGCTCTGCATTATGTAGAACTGTGAACATACATTGCTTATTCCAATATGTAGGCAGATGAGAACATGAAAAGTCAAGATTGTTGATCTAGTATGTCTCTGATTTGGTTCACTCTTCTCTTTCTTACCAGTTGTCAGATGACACTGACTGACTGTGTTCATGGGACTGAAGGCCATTATTGCTTGTTAGCTGAGCTATGTAATGGTGTGGTCTAAGTAAGTTTGCTGCAAATGTGATGTGGGGACAGTAGCGTTTTAAGCTTATACTTTACAGTTTGTGAGAGAGGTAGGCAAGAAGCCAATGCACACAGTCACTTACTGAAGTCGCTTATTACAGCTCCACTGGCAGGCAGGAACTCCTTAAGCTGTGTCAGCTTGAGTGGTTGTAGTTGTGTGAACGGGTTGGGGTCAGTCAGGGCCTGAAAAGCAGCCATGTGACTTTGAGTCAGTGTACATATATATAGGTTGTTATGCCACTTTCTGGGTCTAAATTGTTGTTTGAGTGCAAGTCACTGAGGTACAAAAGGAGTCAGACCAGGAGCCTGTACATTAGGGAACTGCATCAATCATTCCTAAATTATTTCAGCAGTAATTTAGACTGGTCTAGTCCAAATTTTGTATCTTAATTCTGCCACTGACAAGCAAGTGTTGAGCTCACCGAAACACTGTCATTGCTGGAACACTGCCTAAAGCAGGTGTCAAGTGTTTGAGGCAAACTAATATGGCCATTGCTACAGCTGAATTTACCTGGTAGATGGACTGCACATTATCCTTGGTTTTCCCTCGTCAACTGCTATCAGTGCTACGCGTTTTAGGAATCTGAGAGTTAAATGGTCTTCTGTAGCATTGCTGCATATAACTCTTAAAATAGATTCTAACCTTTATGTTGGAAGGATGTTTGTTTTATGGGCTATGTTCAGTGGGGCTGTGGTATATTTTGGCTTATGAGCGTTTCTCGGTTCCCTAGATGGGGTAATGGTCCAGATAACTGCTGAGAACATGGACTCTTTGAGGCAGGCCTTGAGAGAGATGAAAGACTTCACCATCACTTGTGGCAAAGTAGATGCTGAAGATCCTCAGGAACACGTTCATATTCAGTGGGTAGATGATGATAAAAACTTCAGTAAGGGGTAAGTAGAGAAGCAGGCGCCCAACAATGAACGGTGACTTTGACTGCATTTGTTAAAAATGTTAATTGATCTTATAAGGTGCCTAGGATGGCAAATCAATAGGCATGACAAGGCTGCACCTCTATTTTGAATGATAAGTTGCAATTAAATGTAATGAAAATGGAACTAAGATAATAGAGCTTTGGGACATCAATTTAGAAAGTTGTCAATGCTATGGAAAGATTTCTTGCCATCGCCACTATCAAGTTATTGGAAACCACTAATCTGTCTTCAACTCCGAGTGCTGAATCCTGCATATTATAACTAACTTCTTACTTAATTTGCATTAAGTAGTGCTGGAAGTAAAATTAGTTTAATACCAATAATAAATCTGGAGCCTTCAGAGTTGAGCCAGAGGAATGGTGTTTATGTCACTTTGAGTATTTATTGCAATAATGCACTTTTGTAGTAGGTACCGTTTTTAAGGTATCAGCATATTGAAAGGATATTTTTGTAGGTACGTTTTGCTTGGGTCGGCTTTAAGTTCTGTACAAATGTTGCAGACCACGTTTTGGGCTGTATAAGTAGCAGTTCAGGTAGTGCTGGCCTACACTGACATTATAAAGTGAATTAAAAAAATCAAATTTGCATGAAATATGCATCTCGTACTGCAGTGTTAGAGCTGGGACCTCAGAAGGTCCTGATGCAAAGCTGTGTTGAAAACCTGCAGCAAGGTCCTTCCTGGGCCTGATCTGTGCTCACTCGGCAGCTCAGCTGTTTGTGGGGAGGCTCAGCCCAGTAGGAGCCCATTCCAGCAAGGCTGCTCACTATTAAGATCCAGGCCCAGTAGCATGGTCATAATTAGCAGCGATAGGCAAAACTGTTGGTTTTGGCACTGAGAGTCTGTCTTTGGAGAGCTCCTTTCTGAGGCTCATGCTTGTCCATGGCCCATTTAGCTGACGTGATAAGTTGCTGTGTAGTCATGCCAATTGCAGAACACTCACAGATCAATCCATAGCAAGCCAGGCAGGCTAGCTGCCCTTCATCCACGACACTGTTTCCTTTGCAGTGTCCTCTGTTCAGCAGAACACCGTGAAATGCTGTCTGTCTTCTGCTAAGTAGGAACTTAGGCTTTCCCTCTGCTTTTGCAGTGTTGTAAGCCCTATTGATGGCAAATCAATGGAGTCTATAACAAGTGTGAAGATATTTCATGGCTCAGAGTACAAGGCGAATGGAAAGGTCATTCGGTGGACAGAGGTAAGGAAGTCAACCTGATTGGCACGTAAACTAAGACTTGACTTACATAGCATTGTGTGATTGCAACTGCAGCGCTGTCTTCGCTTGACCATAGTCTAGCCCTACTTTTTCTTGCACGCCAATAAAAATAGAAAATTCTTCAGGACAAACCTGTAATAGCTCTCCTACCTGGAAGGAAAGACTTACTTACTAAAGCATAGTACAGAATGAACAGTGCCCTATCATTGATGCGTAGCTCAAGGTGCTATCAATCACATCCATCCTGTACAGCATACTCTGCGTTGGCCACCTCTTTTCCTGCACTATTGTTGAAGCTGGGAAGAAGCAGAAAAATACTTGTTCCCTGTGTTACCCACGGTAACAGCTGGTTTCACTTATATTTGTGTTAAAAAAAAAAACAAAAAAACTACATTTGAAAAGAAAGATTCCTTTGTAATGGAGACCAAGCTTAGTCATTATTCCAAAAATCGTATTTTGAACTACCTTTCTTTTGCTGAAATGTTGAACAATTACAATGAAGGTGCTGCAACATAAATCACTTGAAGCATCTGCTCCGTTAAGGCACTACATATACAGCTGAGGAAACCTGTGAAGCTGCCAGCACACACGGGCTAATATTACAGGATTTCTTGAAGTGTTTCACTTAACCTGCTCAGTGGAAACAGAGTTAATCAGGCTACAGCGTGCCGCTTTGCTATCCTTTTTCCAAGGTCGGTGGTTGGGCTCAACAGCGATAAATCTACTAACAACAGTAGTATGAAAATAGGGTGTTTTTTTTTTTGGTTGAGGCTGGGATAGCTTCTACTAAAAATATGAATTTTTTTTTAATGATACCTTTTTTAAAAAAGCAGGTTTTTATTAAAAACTGTGTGCAGTACATAATGAGTTTACATGATGAGGATTTTGACCAGAACTGAAAAGTGGTTGAGAACACTGCTCTTTAAATATCTAGCTTTTGAAGGTTGTTGGGTTTTTTTGTTTTGTTTTTTTAAATTGGGTGGTTTAATCTTTAGGTGTTTTTCTTTTTTTTGCACAACTTCCCTGAGCTGCTCTTCTTTGACTCTTCATTTGTGAAAAGTTTAAACACCATTTGAATAATTAAGCTTATTGTCTATAAAATCATAGTGTTATATCTTGTATTGACATTTTTTTTTCCCCAGGTGTTTTTTCTGGAAAATGATGAACAACATAATGGTCTGAGCGACCCAGCTGATCATAGCAGACTGACTGAAAACGTGGCAAAGGCTTTCTGTTTAGCGCTCTGTCCGCATCTTAAATTGCTAAAAGAAGATGGAATGACTAAGCTAGGTCTGCGTGTTACACTTGACGCAGATCAAGTAAGTCTTGACTAGTTTCAGTTTAATTGAGTGGGTTTTTTTTTTTTCCCCTTGTTTGTTCCTCAGAAAGGAAGTATGACACAGCAGCTGTTCTACTGGTTGAAGAACTACCACTATCAAATGTTCATTTAGTGGCAGTAACTGTTGTTTGTTGTTTTGGGACATCTGTTAAATGCTGAAAGCTGTGCATAGTGTAACTGAACATTGGTGCTAGACCTCCCACCCCTTGCTGCTAGTAGCACCTGCTCCGTAGTCAGAGACCTGTGAACACTGCTCTGAGCATGCCACAGGCCTGAAGTTCAGGGAATACCACCCCCCCCCCCCCAACAAGCCCAACTTCAACACTATCACATAAGCT